ACAAACTCCGTGGACACTTAGACATGGGGAAGATGCCTTGCTGAAGTTAAAACTGAGCATCAGACTGAAGAAACAAGGAGGTTTAGGGACTTTGAAGATGGCATAGTGGTTGGTACTAGAAGGGCTGATGAGTTTAGATCTTCACTCACAACCATCCCAACTGTCTAACGAGATCCGTGTGAAAAAGAGAAAGTAGCCATTAAGCAGCAGTTGTGTGGATGAAAATATCTTGTTGAAGTCAGGTGAGACTTAGCAGATTGGTTTTAGTTGATGGAAAGACAAAATCACTGGGTCCAAGCAGCAGAAGGCCACACCAGGTGCCTCTCCCGTCAGCTATAACAGGAAACTGAGGCTACGATTCACACAGGATCACCAGAACTGGACCAGAAGAGACTGGAAAACCTTTCCTGGTCTGATGAGGCTGGAGTTCAGCTGCTACATTCAGATGGAAGGGGCAGAATCTGGGGTCACCAACATGAAAACATGGATCCGTAGCTTGGCAAGCCATCCTATATATGTGAATATAAAGTCTAGCCACAACCCATGAAGAGTCCAGTCACGGGCCAGGATCTACTGATGTCTTTCAAACTGTCTCTGCATGCTATTGGACAACAAACAATGTGACTCACTCACCACTGCGGATGTCAGTCATCGAGGCGGTCTGCCTTACATTGTCAAAGAAGACACAAACACATTCTTTTTAAACAGCACTTCTGTCTGCTCTTGACTCCAAGTCTAAATAGTCCAAAGTTGATGCCAAAGCTGTTTCAACCGAGCTGTCGCCATCTTTGTTGTTCTGCTCAGTAACAGTAACATCCCACCAATTTGATAGAGCACTGTGATTGGCCCATTAAACTGATAGATCACTGCGACTGACCCACCAAACTGATAGAGCACTGTGATTGGCCCATTAAACTGAAAGAGCACTGTGATTGGCCCACCAAACTCACAGAGCACTGTGATTGGCCCACCAAACTGATAGAGCGCTGTGATTGGCCCACCAAACGGATAGTGCTGTGATTGGCCCACCAAACGGATAGTGCTGTGATTAGCAAGACACAAGACAGTCTGGGGCTGCTGAGGCTCTAAAGGGGTGTGGCTAGATGACCTGCTGAGAAAAATCCTTCTGCTTGTGCTACAGTCTGTCTAAATGTCTTGGCCAATTGATCCTGCCTTGTTGTACTTCAGCATGATGGTGGGGGTGTAACTGTGGTGGTGGGTGTTCCTGTCCCACTCTGGACCCCGTAGCACCGCCTGAGCCTGTTTGAAACACCAGAGTGAGTATTGTTGCTGGCCAGGTCCATCCCTTTACTACCACAGAGGACAAAACTGCAGCAACTGCATGTATCCATTAAAGGCACACTCGGGAGGTTCAGCTTGCTTTTAGCCACCCCCAGTGTCTGATTAGGAGAACTAAAGCAAAACTTACCTACTTGCTGTGCGTTCATCTTTTTAACACCTTCATCTAACAGCTAACATGTCTCCACGGCCTTCATTAGTGTCTGCAGGAGCGGTTCATCACTGTGTTCATGATCTAAAAAAGGAAACGTGCTGGAAGCAGACTGACTTGTCAGGTATGTCCTTTTTTTTCTGACCCACCAGTCTGAAGTAAGTGCATATTCTGGCCACAGAAGGTGGTGGAGGTCTGAGTGATATTTCATTAACCCTGTAAACCTGAAAAGGGTCATTTTAGCACATCCTGGTTCATAAAATCATATAAAAATGTGAAAAAGCAGCAAAGTATGCTTTTAAATGAAATCAGACACAAATCTGTGAGGAATATTTCCTAAACAATAACTTTGTGATCTTTCCACACCCATTACAATACTTTTATTGTAAACTGCAAATGCAGCATGTTTATTTTACACAAATGTGCATACATATCTTTTTAACAAGTACAGGTTTAGTCCAAGAATGGAGAGGGTTCTGGGCAGAACATGGAAAACATTCAGCATCGAGCAATTCACAATGAAGGTGGGAAACATTCCACTCTTATAAAATATAGAGCTTTCATTTATTAGTCAGCAACAGTGATGGAGAGCAGATAAGAGAAATTTACACAAGGACATCACTTCTGTCTCTTTTTTTCTTTTCTTTTCTTGAAAAATCTGTAAAACAAACATTTACACACAAAACACGTAAAAAGTAAAGATGCTGTCGAGAAAACACCACATTTTACAGCCTTTCTCATCTTCTGATGAAACACATTTTATTTGGACATCACACAGAAGGTTTATGTCAGAAATGCACAAGTGACTATTAAGTTAGATGTCTTGAAGGAAAAAAGATGGATCTTCAGCAGTGCTGACTGTGATTCAGCCTGAGAACAAACCTGGAGAGATGCATTTAAAGCCTCTTTGTGTCAAAACGAGACTACAAAAACGGAGTTCACTGATCTCCACTTGTTTTTATTTATATTTATTTTGGACATTTAAACTCCAACACATTTACTTCCTGTGGAACTGCTGTAAAAATGTTCAAATAAAACATTTTACAAAAGAAAAAATCCCCAAAAAGACTCTTTTGCCCTTTTATTATTTTATTATTAGAGGCTTTTTATCTCAGTCCTTTCACTTGAAAAGGTGTTTCTGTCACTGCAAAGACATGATGTAAGAGAAGATAATCTAAAACTGTTGGTTTGTTTTCCTTATTTAGTGTAATGATCAAAGTTGACACCCACAGAGATGAATAAAAACCAAACTAAAGCTCTAGCTCATCAGAATTACAGTACAAATACAGGTTCATGCACATCCAGATCCCAAATATTTAATATTTTGGTTAGTTTCACAATGTTGTTACAATGCTCTGTAGTTTAAATGCTTTATTTTAGTTTATTTTACACATAAGAAATAAAGAAAAACAGTCTTGTGCTCTGAACTGCTGACTGGTAAATGCTGGCCAAACAAGACGACGCGTTCATTGTAAACTGTTTTTGTTTTTTCAGACAAGCCCAAGTGAGCTTTTTGTTTCTGTCCCCTGCCAAAGTTTACCTAAAATCAAATAAAAACAAAAATAATGCCCATGTGTGCAAATCTTTGAATCCTCAATCATCTCTGCAGTACAAGGTTTGCATTCAGCTATTTTTAATATGTTCCAGTTTAAAAGTTATGCTTAATCAATCCTACCTGCCTTTGAAAGCTTCCTGAATGGCCTCTGCTTGGAGAAATGGAGTTTATAACCAGCAGGACTGATGAGCTAACAGCTAGTTTGAGTGCTGATGTTTTAAAACAGCTTCTATGTCCAAAGCTTCTCCAGAAACTCAGGGCGCAGCACTATTTTGTGTTCAGTTGGCGAAAGCATGCAGCAATGTGGACATTTCTAATATTGTATAATTGACATTGTTGAGATTAGAGTTGTTTTAAAGTGGCATCAATCCATTTTGAATGTTCATTTGGAGAAAAACAAGTCCTTGGCCAAAAGGTGGAGTGTCACCATCTTCACAGAGATAAATGTCCAGAACTTCTAATTAGCTTCAGATGGTTATTTTAGCAGAACTAAACAATAAATTCCTGAAAATGTGTTATTTATGCTTGATAATAACTAGATACATTTATGTTAATAACCCTTCAATGTGAAAAGAATGGTGGTGTGAAGGTTTATGCAACAAAGTTACATCAAATACTGGGAAGTTTCCCAAAACTTAAGCAACTTTAAAGAGACAATGTATATTTTTTACCATTAATCTCTGGAAATATCCATCAAAACGTTGATGAAAATGAACAAAATGATGTTCAGTTGTCTAAAAATATTTGCGGCTTTGTAACATATAACCATAAAAATTGAAAGTACATAGGGCGTGGGTCTATCGTCTTAGGGGGACGCCATGTTTCCTTCTGGTCGGCTCGAGGTCCTTCGTCTGTCGATGATGTCACACATGCACACCTTACGGAAGTTACTTTACCACGGCGAAAAACATTTAGGTGGTGAGAAACACAAATTTAATAACAGAACTGCTGAACTCTTTCCAAAACATTTGTGAAAGAACAGACTCAAAACAGAGATGCACCATATTTTGACCAAGTGGTATTGCCGTAGAATGATGACATTATTGAACGGCGCAGGACCCCGAGCACTTCCGGAAACTACAGCGCCAGAAAACTACAATCGGCATTGCATCTTCTTAATGGAATCAACTGAAGGACCGTCAAAGTCTGAGGAGTCCCATCGATGTTGCATGCTTTCTGCTCCACAGGTAACATTTACCGTAATGTTTATTTAAACTAGCGACAGTCAAGGTCATATGGTGTAAAACTACCCTGAAATGTGTATACTGCCCCCTAGTGCCAGGAAACTACACACTGCCACTTTAAGATGGCAACAATCATAGCCGTGCTCAGATTAGCCATTTTCCCATCAATCCTAAACGAGGTAAAAGCATGTTTCTCCACACTGACATAAACACACTTAAAACGGCCCAAGCATCTCTTTCAAGAGAACTTACTTCCATCTTTGCTAAATGTTTAATCAAACAAATCTCCTGCTTGTGCGGAACCTTTGACGTCAGAAGCATCAGATCCCATCAGGTGCAAAAGCATTCATGAGCAAATACAACTCCCGTTGTTTGACTGGGCTGCCATGTTGGAATTGTCAGCATGATTATACGATAACTCCTCCCACTTAGGAAGCACAGCTTGAGAAAGGACACGGTTTCCCCAATAAAATCAGGACCTCATTCCAACAAGTAACGTCTCTACACTGAGAGTCCAGAAATAAAAAAACATAAAGGGTCCTGCTTGAATCCAGAAGAAAGGCTCCCGTCACCGTCTCATTCCAAACCGACTGCTTTCACATGCTTGATAACACATTCCCAAAAGTTCACATGATGCAGACAGACGAGTTTCTCATGACAGTAACAGCAACATTAAAATAAACAACAATAACAATATTTGCCCCCAAAGAAAGAGCATGTTTATTCTTTATTCTTCTATAAGAAATCCACAGAATGAGACTATATACAACCTACAATAAATACTGTGTATCATATATCTTGCTGCGGGGGGGGGGGGGGGGCTTTATGAGGGGGCTGTTTGGAAGCCTCTTTTTCTGAGTTTGAGGTTTTCTTAGAATTGTTTTCTCCAGTTTGTTGATGATTTTTTTTCATGTAGCTTTTCTCATTGAGTCTCTCCCATTTTTCTCAGGGAGGAGGGAGTGTGGGGGGAGGACTGTGTTGAAGACGTTTCAAACACAAAGTCAGTTTCCTCATGTCTCAGCTCCCTGCTGCTCCTCTTCCTCCTGCCCCTCCTCCTCCTCCTCATCCCTGTGGTGCCGGCGGTTGCGAGGCTTCTTCTGCTCTTTGAGCTCTTTCAGGTCTTTGGCCTTGAGGGCACCGAGCAGCGGGTCTCCGAACTGCCAGTAATCCTGGCAGTACTGATTGATCAGGCTCATCTCTGGCTGGCTCAGGATGGTCAGCAAGTCCTTGTACTGGCCTGCGCTGGGTGTCCACTGGGTGCTGCCGGAGTGGAGAGATGACGGCACCAGAACCCCTGCTCCTCCGTCCACCAGCGCGTTGTTGATGGCGCGGCCCGACAGCACCACCAACTGCAGCTTTACAAGCGTGTGTTTGAAATTTTTCTCCGTGGCCGTGCACTGGTACATGCCAGAGTCCAAGGGCTGAAGAGAACGCATGAGCAGACCCTGGTCTGTCTTCAGAACCCGACCATCAGAACGCATCTATGAAGGAGCAAAAACAGGTGGTAGCCAGTTGTCTCAGACCTGTACTTATGTGTCTGAATTCTGAGGAAAGCTAAGACTGACAAGCTAACACTTAGAAACTGATTTGTATTTGTAGTATGCCTTCTAGGGTTATACAACCCCCCAAAGTGCTTTACAACACGATCAGTTATCCAACCATTCACATGCTATCAGCTAACTTGAGTGGTGCCCTGGAGCACACTGACAGAGGCGAGTTCTGCCAGGACCTGGAACCACAGGTCCCACATGTCTTGCTCAAGGACACAACAACTGCTACAGATGGGGCTCAAACTTTCAACCCTCCACACTGGTGTGTGGTGAAAATTGTCCTCTGCATTTGACCCATGCACGTGGGGAGCGTTGAGCTGCAGCAGTGGCTGCGCTCAGGAACTATATGATGGTTTAACCCCCCAGTCGAACCGCTTGACACAGAGTGTCAAGCAGGGAGGCATTGGGCCCCATTTTTAAAGTCTTTGGTATGACCCAAATGGGACTTGAACGCTGATCTCCCATTCCCAGGGCAGACACTCTACCACTAGGCCACTGAGCTGGTATTTACAGGGTGAGCACTTAACTCCTCTGCCCACTGTCGCCCTAAATTTCTAAATATTTACTATTTACTTAAACTTCTATTAACAATTTGAGTGAAAACTGGTGGCAGAGCAAGCTATATGTAGCACTTCAGATTATACTTACAGTATTTCTGCTGTAATACCAGAATAACATAATCTACAGCAATGACAAAGTTCATCAAATAACATTAGCAAGAAATTTTCTTGACATTTTTGACATTAGAGTGGTTTCAAGATGGCAGAACCCCACTTTGGGACTGGCCTGACTAGCTGTTAGCTATAGCTATTCTCCATTTTACTAAACTGAGGTTGTTCAAAAAGAGTTAACAGTAAAGAAACACTGGACTACCGTGATGAAAAAGAAACAGGTGATTTGCTACATTAGTTTTCTGCTGTTAGCTGGGTCAACACATCTGCGCAGAGGCCACTCCCCCTTTTGGGTGCAACCCCAAACTTTAATTTTATAAAAGGGCTTTTATTTATGAAATGACATCATATTTACACAACATGGTAACTATATTTGAAGGCAGGGTAACCAGTAGCAGCAGTAAGGTTTTGAGTTTAGGTACAAAAATAACTTGTACCATTAAAATAGACAAATAACAAAAAAAAAAAACAATTTTCATTCTACTTAAGCAAAATAACAAAATAAACACTCATCATAAACATGTATATTGTAATAAATACCCTTTGCCACAGAGCTCTGAAAAAAGCTGCTTTCCTAACTAGAAACTTCTTCTTCCGGCTCTTGGTGAGTGCAGACGCTTTTTTCCTCCCCTCCTCCCTATCTTATCCCCAAGGCTCTTTGTCTGTCTTTGGGTGCACGGCTGCTTCTGCATTTTTTCTGGAAACTGGAAATTATTAAAAATGGACCTGGTCAGCTGGTCACTCAACGCCATTGATAACATTTTTTCAACAATGAGAACAGGAGAAGGGGCTCCCGGATGCCCCTCTGGGACACACCCAGCTGGTCATATCATGGACTCCTGGAAATAGTGGAACCTGATTTGCCTATCTCAGCTGTCTGTAGAGGATTCTGAAGACATCTGGATATGTGTGGTGTTGGTGTCAGGTTTCCTGCTCTTTGGCCTAGGAGGCTTCCTGGCTTATCAGAAAATTAACAAGCTGTCAAGGAATATTGGCACTCTCCCCGAGCTCAGAGATGGATTGCACCGCGCTGTGAATTCACAGACTCAAATAATTGTCGAGATGAATCGTAAGCTTGGAACTTTGGCTGAGATTCATGCGTTGGCGCAAAAGATGGATGCCATCAAGGAGAAAGTGGACGAATCAGCACGGATTGGGATAGATTGATTTACGCCATTATTGGGATTTTGAGAGGTTGAGGACCAACGGAACTTTAAGACAGAGAGAAATTTTTCTCTGTCTGGCCCCAAAACAATTTCTAATCTGAATCTAGTGCCCTTGAGCCTGTGAGGCTGAAGCAATAACTCCCCCTCAGAAGAAATGTGGAATGCTGCCGTCGCTATGGCAACTCTGTCTCCTATCCCAGCCTGGGCGGGACTGCTGGCTGTGAAGGCCACCGAATCGTTCCAGAGTCACTGTGCTCTGTAAACCCAATTACCTCCTTCCCCTGTCCAAATGGAGGTGACGAGTGCTGCTCATTGCGGCTGCATACACTGATGTGAGGAGAGTCCAACCCTACTGCCCCACCTAGTGGACACTTATGTTGTGTAATGTCTGAAGTCTGTTGCATTTCTTTCTGAGGTTTTTTTTTTTTTTTGCAGAGCAAAGCTGCCCTCCTGGTGGGAGGGTAACTCTGAAGTGCCTTTTTTCCCTCCACCTGAACCAACCCTCATGTAACCCTCTGATCTCTATTAAGGTAGCACGACTCAGGGTGGCGAATGACCACAGTCACCAATTCTTGTCATGTGTCTTGCCCATGTATGTCTGATTTTTGAATTGTGTGTATTGAAACTAATTTCCCTCTGGGATTAATAAAGTATCTTTGAATTGAATTTGAATTTGAAGAAGAAACCAGGAAAACGGCATGATTAGTCAACCAACAAGTGTCAGGACGATGACACTCACGTCTGATTAGGGGGCGACTGCTCCTTTTTGCTCTGAAACCAGGGGAAAAAAAGTTATATTTGCCTTTGGGATTGAAAAAATCCAACAGACCTTTAACTGAGTAGAAAAAACCCAATAAACCCACAATAAAACTTTAGTGCCTTGAGGCTGCGTCTGAGCAGATGTCCTATCTCTAAGTGGGCCTGAGGATGGTCTGTGTGAGCAATCATGCATCAGCTGGTCTCAATCATTTGATCAAGCTAACAGATAATCAAGAACAAATTACACTAGTTATTTTTCAAATGTGTCACATTGCAAATAAATCTTTATTCCTCTGACATGCTGAGGAGGTTTATGTTACATCTTGTGGTTCCTGTACCAGTAAGACAGATTTATGAGGCTGTGATTGGCTCACCTCTTTCCTGCGGTCACTGTTGTCTCTCTGCAGATGCCATTTGATGATAGCATGTGGAGAGCGTGCCTGACACTCCAGGAAGGTGCTGCTTCCCTCCACCCCGTACTGCACCATCTCCAAAGTGTTCTTATTAGCTGCAGGGCAGAGACAGAGAGGCCCATGGCAACAGAGACACTCATAATGAGCTCCTCAGAACCAAAATGTCCTTCCACACAAAGAAATAAATACTAACATTTCCATTTAATTTACTTTTAGATGATAATATTACACATACATATATTTAAAAATCAGAGTGCACACAGTTACAAACACATTTTAAAAATATGTTAAAGCAAAGCTAGTGGACAAGAGTGGATGACTGAATCCAGTTATTTACAGGATGAGTCACACCATGGGTGGAGACTTAGTTCACCCACACTTCATGTAAGAAAAGTAAGCGATGCCTGGCGGACTGAGAGAGCAGCACTGAGGCAGTCAATGATCTAACCCTAACCATAACCAAAATCTTTAGAAATGAATCTTAATGTATTGAGTTATATCTTAATATGCTGAATTATTTTTCTATGTAAATATTTAACATTACTTCTAGATTTTTAGAATGAAATCTTACTGTAAATGTAAAAAAATATGTTAAATTTAATGTTAATTTTATCCAAACATTTATGATAGATATGTTTAGAAACAAATCTAATTATTTGTGAATTACATTGATTCATTTTTTTGTGACCACTTCCTCTGTAAGAAAATGAGCCGGCGAGCATCATATACCAGTCCCCATTAGACTAGAGGCGAGAGACATCCTGGACAGTCCAGTCCATCACAGGGACACATGGAGACTAAGAAGACATATGACCAGTTACACACTCACTCACACCTAGTGACAATCTAGAGTTGCCAATTAACCTAATATGTATGGAACTAGGATTGGGACAATATTACATGCAACCCGCTTTGTAACCTGTGACATGTTTCGTAACTGTAAATTTCGTTTTGTAGCATGTAATTCTCGTTTTGTAAAACGTAACTTTGGTTTTGTAATTTGTAACATTTGGTACGTAAAATGGAACTTTCATTTTGTAACTTGCAGACAACAATCAATGTACAAGTTTCAAATCACAACTCTTAAAACACACATCTCTGTCTACAGCTACAAAACACTTTGTCCCAATTCTAGCTTCCTTCCCAAAGAACCAATGACAGGCTTGGATTCCTTTTCGAAGACAATTCCTGTTGGAAGGAAGCTAGAATAGGGACAAAATGTTTTGTACTTGTAGACTTGAGTTTTGTAACTGTAGACTGAGATTTGTGTTTTGAAAGTTGTGATATGAAACTTGTACGTAGATTTTTGTCAGCAAATTACAAAATAAAAGTTTCATGTTATGTGTCAAAGTTACATAATACAAAATGAGAATTACATGCTACAAAACTCGTTAGCTGTTACAAAACGAAAGTTACGTGTTGCAAAAAACATGAATTGCATGCTACAAAACAAAAGTCACAGTTACAAAGCATATTACAATTACAAAACTTGGTACAAGTCAAGTTGAATATTGTCCAACTCTAGTTCCATAAATATGCAGCTGTTTGGTAAATCAACCTTCTTGCTGCAAGGACACAGTTCTACCACTGCATAAGATAAAAATGAAAATATAAACAAACATGACACCTAAATATTCAAAATGAAAGGAGCCTACCAAGTTAAATACAGAAATAAATATGTGATGTCTTTTAATAGAGGATTGTTTGAGTGTTAAACCATGGATCATTTACTCATTAGCAAAATTCTTAGTTTTCTGCAACTTTGTATTAATTTTAATGTATTTTTGTTTAAATTGTTAGATTTAAAAGGTGTGGTTCACTGAAAAGCCATTTTTAATCATTATTTCTGATTATAATCGGTCACTGTGAATTTTTCATGCAGGCTAAACATGAAAATAGTCTCCTACACCCATCTCCGGCCTTAGCTTCTGATAGAAAATAGACAGTGAAACTCTAGGATCAGAAAATCCTGATGGATCTCTGTCACCCTGTCACTAAACATTCATGGACTCACCCATCTTGACTCACAACAGCGAAGGCTGTTGCTGGTTTAGCATCCAGGAAACAGCAGAGAACGTCTCAGCTAGTAAGAGCTAACCATTATTATTATCAACTCCACCACACAGAAAAACTCCTCCAGGCTTCAGTTATTTATGGAAAAAACATCAACGATGCAAGTCAGTGGAAGAGTCGTGTTGCTGTTATCCAATTCCAGGCGAGATGTCCAAATATCAGGAAAGGAGACTGCAAATTCTGCCGCCACTCTGTGCGGCAGTTGACTTGTCGGCACTGATCCAAGAAATTCTGGACTTTTTTAGCCCTGAGTAGGGTTTGCAAGGCATGCGTTCCTACCAGAGACCACTGCAAATGTATTGATTAAACGAGTGAACCACACCTTTAACATCACAACTTCCTAAAAATAAATTATGAAAAAAAAATGACTAAAGACTTCACATTTCCTATTATCACATTTTTATCTTTAGGATTCTAAAAGTGACTATACATGAATGTGAAACTGCTAAACATGGCCAGATGCAAACCTGCCAGATAACAGTAGGTAAAGATCTTAAAATTCTTTAGTTACCGTTCGAGTTAAAGCCTCGGCACTGGCGGATGGGGTTCCCGTACCGGACGTCCTGCCTCCGGCTACGTCTAAAGGGGTCAGACCAGTATTGCCAAATAAGGAGAGAAAAACATCATAAAGCAACCGCAAGCCATTCAAAGCCATTCAATTATACACAATATGCATCCCAAACCATCACCTGGCTATAGCCTCACCTTTAATACTTGTTAGAAGAACTAGATATTTTATTAGGCTTGTTAAGCAGAGATGAAAGGAATCAGATCAAAGAGCTACTCAGCCAGTCTGATGTGAGTCAGTTAGTGGTGACATTAGTGATGATGGTGCTGGTGCTCACCTCTTCTGTGAGGCTGAGTACCGGGAGCAGGACTTGCCGTCCCAGGCGCAGTAGGGATCTCGGGCCAGGCAGCAGTCAGCGCAGGCCTCGCCGTACACATCGCAGCGGTGAAGAGCCATCTGGGTCAGCCCGATGTCAGAAGATACGTACAGCTGTTGCTGTTGATGGAAAAAAAGGACATCTGACTGAAAACTCTTCAAATAAATTCAAATAATGTTGACAGGAGCACAAATCTTGATTCTGAAGACAAACGCGCCAGTGTCAGAGTCCTCAGAGAGGCGGCTGCCATCATCATTTTAAAATCAGCTGTTTGAAATCTATCTTTCTGACAAGCAGCAAGTAATCCTAACTCTGTCTGCAGGCTGAAGTCACGACTCGCCAGCAAGTCCAAGTATTTTAATCGCATGCAGAACTTTTGATGTCTTTTCCATTTTCGTTCCATGTTGTCTTTAAGACCTAGAGCTTTCTGTGAATTATGAGGAAGGAAGCAAACGGGACATTACAGCCATGCACTCGCAGCTCGTATTCATTTGAAATCAGAGTGGCTTCACGGCATACGTAAGCAAATGTGAAGAAAATCTCTAAAGCAGACACACTCACCCGTTTGGACGAGATCTTCATCGTGGTTATTGGAGTAGGGACCTTGTTGGAGAGAAAACAGATCATGATGACCGTCTGTTATGTGACAAATATGTTTGTAGGAAATGTGACAAACAGTCTTGAAGCTAACCTTGAAAACCTCAACCTCCTCCAGCACCAGCTCTTCCGTCTGCAGGTCATCTCTGGGCAGCACGATGACCTTCTGAACTGTCCCCTTGTCTGTGGACCACAACACACACCTATGAGCTTTCAATCATTACAACGCTGAAATTTGCTTTAGATTCAGCTTAGTACGAATGTGCCTAAAGAATGACTCCACTGCATCCTCTTTGGCTAGCTCCAGGTGAAAAACTACAACACCCAGACTGCTTAAACATGGACTCAACTAATCTCCACTAAAATAAAACCTTTCAACAGTTTATAATTCATCTGATTTTGTTGGTAAAAGTGTTCAAACTTGATCTTACTAATGAGGTCGTTTACAAAAAAAATTAAAAAACACCTAAAGTTTAATTTTTTTTAACCTTCATAAACTGAATAAAGGCTTCAAAAACCAAATACTTCATTGTCAAGATTCTGTTATTAGTCACAGTCGTTGTGTCATTGGGCAAGGCACTCAATCCACCTTTCTGGCTGGTGGTGGTCAGAGAGAATGGGGTCACCAGTGCTCAGCAGCTGGCAGTACAGTGTAGCTCATCCCCACCAGTGCGTAAATCTGTGTGTGGGTGGATAACGGGTTGTGATGTAAAGCACCTTGGGGGGTTGTAGAACCCTAGGAAGGCATTTATGAATTAATAGTGTGAAGCAAATTCAGTCAATGCTTGTATAGTCCAGGTATTATAAATTAAATTGGTCTTGATCAATCTCTTATGCAGACAAACATTTAAGCTAACTTCAGCACCAACCCCAGATTGTTGTTTGATTTTCTCAGCAGCCACTAATAAAGATAATCCTAATATTCTGGGGCAGTAGTAGCTCAACAGGTTGAGCGAGTTGTCCAGTAATCGGAAGGTTGCAGGTTCAATCCCGGCTCCGGACAGATAATTCTGCTGTTGTGTCCTTGGGCAAGACACTTAAACCACATTGCCTGCTGGTGGTGGTCGGTGGAACCGGTGGCGCCAGTGCTCGGCAGCCTCGCCTCTGTCAGTGCGCCCCAGGGCAGCTGCGGCTACATCGTAGCTCATCACCATCAGTGTGTGAATGTGTGTGTGAATGGATGAATGATACACTGTAGTGTAAAGCGCTTTGGAGTCCTTACTCTGAGAGGTGCTATACAAGTGCAGGTCATTTATCATTCTCCCTTCCCCCTGATGTCCTCTCCAGGTATTTGTTTCTGCTCCCGTGACAAAACTCTTCTGTCCCTCCCACCTCCACTCATTTGTTTGGATGCCATGAGGCATTTTCTGGCCTCTCCCTGCTGTTAGAATTCCTGTGAGTTGGATACCTGAGATTTATTTTGTCCTCTGAACTGAGCCCCAGTGTGAAGCTGAGCAGCTCGGACGCTCTGACAGCTGCTGAAAGGACACGTTCCTCTACAGCGGCTGCCACACAAAAGCATTACTCTCCTCTAAAAAATCAGAGTAAAGGGAAATGCAAGGCATGATGTGAGGGCAGCGGACTGTACCATGGCTGCTGCCACACAGCGTCCTCATGAGACAACTGATAATGACTCTTACACCGGTGGGTCTAATTAAAGGGAGACTAGGCCGTTTTGGCTTGCTTTTAGCACTCCTTAGTGTCTGTTTAGTAGAACCAAAACTCATCTCATTGCTGTGCGTTTGTCTTTAAGTCCTTAATCTGAAAGCTGAAGCATCTCCCCAGCCTTCATTAGTGTCTACAGGAGTGATCCATCACTAAATGAAACAAATCAGCTGTGTTCGTGATCTAAAACATGCAGGAATGGTAAAGCATGCAGGAAATGTGCTTATGGCAGACTGCAGCACCAGGTATGTCAGACAGGTAAGTCCAACAGACCGGACCGGCACTCTGAAGTTGCAAATGCTGTATTCTGGCCACATAGGGCGGTGGGGGTCTGAGTGACATTTCTTTAACTATGTAAATGGTCATTTTAGCACATACTGGATGAAGAAAATTATTTAAAAATATGAAAATATTGCAAAGTATGCCTTTAAGGTGACAGATCTCACCCTCCTTCCTGTGCTGTTCTCTCCCCCCTGCTGCTGATCCACCCCTGCCCTCCAGGTACAAATCTCCTGTTGTTTGCTCCACATGAGGACACACTCTTTGATGGGTTAAACTTCCACTCCAGCACAAAGGAAAAATAATGCTTTTCTGCTAATGATAAATGATTACAGGGGAAGACAAGTCCTCCAGTTTTCTGGGATTTATTTCTATGGGGAGATCCTGTTCCCATTATTCAGCTCTCCACTGACAGTGTCACTCAGCATGTCGACTCCGATCAAAGGGTTCATGAGTTCAGACTGACCTCACAACGATTAAAAGCAACCAAGATGGGATTTTAAACACTTTAAAAAGAGTTCCATAAATTACGTCTAATCAAATGACAATAAAATGAGGAAACACTCACCAGTTCCTAAAAAAAGCACTTCATAGTTGCCGTCTGCAGCCGTCACCTGGTCCACTGAGATAGTGGTGAATTCATAGTCCACGTTGGTCCGAACCACCAGGGGGCGCTTGTGTACTGGGTACACAGCATTGTGCATGGCGGGGTGATTCCTCATGAAGTTAATCACTTCATCTGGATAGTCCTTTGTGGACTTCATGCTGGGGGTGAATGTACCTCCAGGGCACTGGGAGGGGGACACATTAACATTCTGAGCACGAGAACCAAAACCCAACATCTCGTTAAAGTGCAGCAGTAAGATTTAGGATCCTGCTCAGGTGGTTTTTGTTATGATGGAGGGAAGCTGCTGATCTGACAGCTCACTGTAGGGCTTGGGAGAGGCTCACCGTGCCGGGCCGAGGGTACGGGATCTTTCCAGTGTAGGCCACCCACTGGTAATTGGGGCCTTCCTTATGAGCAAAGGGTCCGTTGAAGACCATGCGGATGTCAGCCATGGAGTACACACACACTGCAGAGCCTTTAAACACAGAGCTGGGGGGGGTAAATGTTTAAAAAAAGGGTCACATTTTCCTTCCGCCTCCAGATGCAGGAACAGAACAGAGTAATTGTTCTTACCCAGAGACAGTGAAGACTCCATATATCACAGGATTCTTAGTATCCTGAGCTGGCTGGACGTATACCTCTCCTGTAACACAACAGAAAAGTCAAATCATTGAGTGGAGACATGCGGGAGACTCTTCACATGGTCTGAAAGGACGGACACACAAAACGTTGGATCTGGACAGACCTTGTGTCTTTCATGCAACTTATTTTTTCTTTCTTTGGGTATTCATCTTACACTTCACATACTTTATAATATTAACATTTTACAGGCCTTTATACTAGGGCTGGACAATAAATCGAAATCGTATTGTTATCAAAATTTCTAGTTCTTACCATTTTTCCCATGTCAATAAATTTGATAATAAATAAAAAGAACATACGTGTGCAGGCTGGTGACATTCATGTCGTTTTAAGAAATTGTACCACCTTAAGTCACATAAGACATATGACAGCCCCATCTAGTGGAAAACTTTTGTTTATGCACTTACATGTAGTTAACGTCTATTTAGCATTATCAAGGTGAAATCCTCATTAAATTGTGATATTGATTTTAGGCCATATCGCCCAGCCCTAATTCATACACTTTTTTTGCACACAATGACAAGGATTGTCTAAAAAGCATGTTTTCCATATTTATATCCAATTAAACTGATCACAAAACAATGATGTACTCTCTTTCTTTCTTTGTTCCTCCCCAACCCTCATAAATCCTTGTGGCCTCCTACAGCACCCCCAAGAAACATCAATAACAACACTATAAAAAGTCAGACGTGTTATGTAAAAACTGCTATTTTAGCATACTTTAGGTCCAACGTGTTGCTACTAGACATTCAGTGGGAGCAGTCAGGTAGCATCCGAGAACTGGGTCGTACAGTACGATAGGGCTAAACAATTTTAGGAATAGGTTTGTCATGGTAATCGGTGTAGCAGTAAACCCCGGTAAAAAAGTTGACAATAATAATAATAACCATCATGTTTAAAAAAAAATATATTATCTCGGTGGATCTTGGTTGTGGTGTAGGCGCGGTGACCCTTACCAGCCACCGTATCATCTGCTGAAGTTGCCGGCAGCACTTGCACGCTTTGTTGTTTACAACTAAAACTTTCTTGAAGCTAAAGCTGAAATAATGGCCAAAGGAGGAGACGGCAGCACTCAGGACATTTATTATCCCCCAAAGAAGACAAAGTCGAAAGTACGGGCATTTTTAGGATATTTGAAGAATGCCGAGGGACAGTTGATAGACGGCTATCCTGTTTGCAGCACGTGCAGAAAAAGTGTCTGTGAAAGGCAGCAATGCTTCAAATCTCATGACACATCTGCGTGACCATCACCCACATCTCTACAGTCAACGCAAGGCAAGCTAACGTTAGCTTTTTAGCTAAAATGCGTGATCCGAGGATTTGGGTTGAGGGAGAATGCAACGAGTCGCTATATAAAGCAGCCGCAGCGCCGCTACCTGCATATAAACCGTGTCGCGGACACCCCCATGTTGAAATGACGCTATGCATTACGGGGCTCCCAGGGGCAGATAAGAGTTGGTCTCTCTCCGAGAATAATTATGAATTTAACAATGATTACTGCCTGATGACATTTTCCCACATCTGCAAAGCTCACTGGAAGGACACAAACCGAGGAAGATATTTTCCTGATATAGGGATTATTACTCAAGTAAGTGTAAAAAAAAAGTATCTGATTAGAAGGCTACTTGAGTACCGAGTATTATCTGGTCTAATATTTTTAAAATGATGACATCAAACAGACAAAAAATAAGAAGTTGTGGGCAAATACGGGTATTTTAAAGCCTAATGGGGAAAAATGTAAACAAATAAACAACATAATTAGAAAATAACACATTTTAGGCAAAATTTTGACACAAACTGAGGCCAATATTTTCCTGATATACAGGGTTTATGCAGTTGTCTGAAAATGTAACACGTTTAAAAAAATACCGCGATAATACCAAAAACCGTGATTATTTTGGTCACAATAACCGTGAGGTAAAATTTTCACACCGTGACAACTATTTAGGAAAAGATTGAATTGCAATTTTTCTAGCAGAAATTGCGATTTCGGTTCAATTCACAATTTTCAGCAAACAAAGGTCCATCACTAACCTGCCAAGCCATCCTGTAGGTTAAGTGAAAAGATGGTCTATATTCTAATCTAGAACAACAAATTATTCACATTAATATTTACTATTTAATCATACAATAAAAACTGTTAAAGCTATTAATATTTTCTCCCATTAAGATCCTTTTTTTATATGTGTTTGTGAAGCTACTTGTGCTTGTGATGTTTATTTAGGAGCTTTATGAAAACATGTTCTACTCCAAAAATGCATCGAGGAAATCGGTAGGTAGAAACAGCTTTTAAATGTATTAAATAACAAATAAATATACACAGTTTTCCAGCATTACCGCGGCAGGCTGGCTGCATGTTTTTTGAAGCCGTCTGATAGTTTTTCCTCACTAACGTCAGTTCTGTGAGAGAGACGCATGCATTCTGACACCTTAGCTTGTTTGAAGTAACGTGTGCCGTCAGAAACATTCAAACCATTTTTAAAAGAGAAGTTGCGCTTTCAAGTCAACTAAAGTGCGTGACTCCGCACTCGCATTGATGAAGCATAAACCAGGCTTTAGAAATCAGCCTGAACCTGCTCCGATGTGGGAGGTGTCTCTCTCTCCCTTACTCAGCTACGTTCTCTCTCTCTCTGTCCCGGGCTCACCTACGGTGCCATTATTATCGGCTCTAGCAGCGCTGTGTGTGGGAACATAAAACAGGGAAAATAACCTGAACATGCAGCTCTGACAGCAGTGGAGTTGGGCTCGGCTCTGGACGGTACACCCCACCCCCCTCCCCAGCGCTGGCTTTTGCTGCTGCCATAATACTGGGGAAAAACCCCGGATGTAAAAAAGGTTACACAACTGATCCTGGATCAGTCAAAACCACTGAAACCGCAGCTTTGATGGCCATGTGACTGCACTGTTTGAAATCACAGTTTCGTTCAGCCCTATAGTACGAGCTCATGACTCGTGAGACTTGCTCTGTGAGGAAGTCGTACAAATTGAGACGGAGCTGAATGCTACAAGTGAAAAAGTCCACCCAGCTTAACAGGACAGGGGCACTTCAGGGGGCCAGTCAGATTTCAGCAGGGGTCAATATCCCTGTGCCCCCACCCCTACAGCCACCAATGGGGAAATGGGCCTCTCTAAGGTGCCACTGCCATGACCAGCAGAAAGTAGAGGTGGTAGTAGTTATGTGTAATCCAGGAGTGTTCAGTTAGGGTATAACTCATGATTATTCTGGTTAATACAACAATCAAGAGCAGTTATTGGGAGGTGGGAAACACTTTCCAGAGCTCACATTTACATTGCCATTAAGTACGAGAGCAGAATGACTTTTACTAGAATCGGTGTAGAGCACCATTAAGCATAAGGAAAGAAATGTGGCAAACACATTTTTGTAGTTTGAAACACCAACTAATAAAACTGATGAAGACACTGACAAGTGCAGCAATAGAAGCAGAGAGGAGCTGCGATGTCCAAGCATGGAGTCATTATAGACAAAAGGTCCAAAAGGTCAGGTGTTGTGATTGATGAACACCTGGCCTTTAAAGATCATGTTGCCTCTGTTGCTCGTTCATGCCGCTTTGTGTTGTATAACATACGAAAGATCAGACCATACCTAACACAACATGCCACCCAGCTCCTGGTGCAATCTACTGTCATCTCCCGCCTCGATTACTGCAATGCCCTTCTAACTGGTCTTCCAGGCTGTTCTGTGAGACCTCTTCAAATGATCCAGAACGCAGCGGCGCGTCTGGTCTTCAATCAGCCAAAAAGAGCACACGTCACCCCTCTGTTCATTGAGCTCCACTGGCTACCGCTAGCAGCACCCATCAAATTCAAATTGCTAACACTAGCATACAAAGTCGGAGATGGTACGGCTCCCATCTACCTGAATCCTCTTGCAAAGGCTTACGTCTCGGCCCGGCCGCTCCGGTCATCACTGGGTCGTCGGCTAGCAGTGCCTACACCACGCTCAGGACAAGCCAGACTCTTCTCATGCATCGTATTACAAATGTGGAATGACCTTCCAAGCACTACCAGAACAGGAGCTTCCTTTTCAGTTTTCAAGAAACTCTTGAAGACCCTGCTCTTCAGAGAGCACCTTCTTAACTAGCACCCTCCCTGCACCCCCCCCCCCCCCCTACTGTCCACTCCTTGTCCCCTCCTCTCCATGACTGATGTCAATGTTGTTGTTGTTATTGTCGTTGTTAGCCTCAAGGGCAACATGCCGATTATCACTGGTAAGTTGCTTTGGACAAAAGCGTCTGCTAAATACATAAACATAAACATAAAAGGGTCATTCGACCTTCAAATTTCAACTTTATGGAAATAGGCCACTGGACACCATGCCAGCATGTACACTAGGTGTGAAGTGATGGAGGAGTTTGTTGATGCTGTACAGAAACTGCATGTTTTTGCTCTCATTTAGCAATTCTGATTTGCACTAACTTTTTGTAACATATCCTGTGAGTTTATCCCTCAGAAAGTGATGGGGGGGGGGGGGGGGGGGGGGGGGGGATAAGAGTGTTTGTTGCAACATGTGATGTGACAAAGAATTTTTTTATATTCAATTCAATTCAAAAATACTTTATTAATTCCAGAGGGAAATTGATTGCTGTAGTAGCTCAGGATAATAATAATAATCAAGTCAAAGAGTTGTTGTATATTACAATGGCTGTTGGCAGGAAGGATCTCCAGTAGCGGTCAGTGTTGCAGCATATCAGATTTTTTTTTTCTGAAATACACATGTAACCTAAACTACTTGAGATTTTACACAAAGTTGGCAAAAATTGTTATCATCCAGCATTCTTCCAAAACTTTTACTAGGAAATATGACTTTTCCCTGAAAGGAGAGCTGCATCATAAAGTTTTGAGCCAGTTCTGAAGGCCTTTATATCCCAGACAGTCACATGAGTTGTCCCTCAGCGCTCTGACACTGACATTGCCTGATATAGCTTATCCTTTGTTTGATTCCAAGTACAGGTGATAAGTCTTCCTGCTGTTCAGTACCTAACCTAAATACTGGTCCCGGGAGACTAGTTCACTGCCTGCAACAGGACAAGTGCTGTCCACATGAAACACACAATGAGCTCCTGACCTAGTTGCAAAGTGTGATTGGTGGAAAAAGTCGAGTAGTTAGAAATGAAGAAAGAAAAACTGAAAACATGGCCAAGGGGCTTAGGAACTGAGGAGACAGAACTGATCAGATACTGGCAAAGAATAAGTACCAAATCCAGATTTATGTGTTCACAGTCCCACTTAGACCAGCATGAGAAATTAGCTGTCAGAATGCAGATAGAGTTAGGTGGTGTGAGAACGGTCTTTGGATCGGAACTTCTGGGTTCCGTTTCGGTCTACATAAAAGAGGCTATAGAGTCATCCTCTGGGGACTGTCTGCACACTGAGTCTTGTCCCTGGAGAGCAGTATACAGCTCAGAAAAAGCATTGTCCATACTCTAGTGGCATGCAGGTTCACACCCATCCGCTCTCTCTCCCACTACCGTGTCTCCCCACAGCTGCCACAAACCAGAGTGCTGGAACCGTCATGGGTTAGCATGGCCGCGGCCCAATGGGCTGCCATGGGTGTCATGCAACACATGATCCTTGTCATGACATACAGCTGCTATACTGCAGAAATGAGAGATTTGCATGCAAGAAAGCACAAGTGCCTCCTAACAGACTTGGAGACACCTCTGAGAACCAAAATCAATAAAAGCTTCGAAGAGAAACTATTAAATGTTGAGTAAAGCAATGAGCCTCTTCTCTGAATCTTTTATCCTTTATAACACCTTCTAAAGAATCCAGATTTTACTACTATATTTTCTCTATTCTTGAGAACAAAATTCAAGCTTTCTTCCCTACAAACATTTTATTTTCAGCTTAATCAGCTTTTGAGTTCTAAAAATGTTATTTCCACTTCTCCTAATTTCTTCATCTTACTGTTTTTTGACCTTTGCATTTTCCTGCGTCACCATTGGTAAAGATCCGCTTGCTTCTCCAAGTCTCTTACAAAACCTTACAGAAATCATGTGTGAAGCGTTGGTATTTACATCACATATTCCACTCTCCTGCCTCTCACCCAGTGACATGCTGCTGATGGAGTCCAACCTCCAAATGACCCTGGACTGGCCTGAGTTTATAGAATATTCAATATTAAGGGAACAGACACTCACTTGCTGCACCAAGCCAAATCATTTCTCAAAATCTCTCTAATTAAAAAAAAAAAAAAAGGAAACTGTATGGTTTGTTTAAAATATGAACAGTTTATTTGGTTGTGAGCGAGAAGCCAGTTGGCTAGGCCTAGCTGAGTTCAGTTCGTACAAGAAAACACTTAAACAATCTTTAAATGCTGGTCAAAAAGTAAAAGAAATTCCAACACAAAAAAACTAAGTTCACCAATATTGTTGCTATTCTGCTTGTTTGCCCCCAACCCTCATCCTATCTTCTCTCTACTTTATGTTTTTGTCATTTGTCTCTAATCGCTGGCTGTCCACTCCATTGTAAAAGCTGGAAGTAGTCTATTATGTTACGAATTGACTAAATGTATGCAACAGAACGAGTAAAAATCTTTCCTGTTTTAGAGTAAATCTGTCCTGACGTAGTTCCAACATTCTGTCAGTCCAAATGCTCAGAACAGGACTGGAGAAAAACACCAACCAACCAACTAAACCAACCTCAGTCAACCAACCAACCAACCAACTAACCGACCAACCAACCAGCCAACCAACCAACCAAACCAAGCTCAACCAACCAACCAACCAACCAACCAACCAACTAAACCAAGCCAACAAACCAAGTAAAGCAACCTCAACCATCCAACTAAACCAAGCCAACAAGCCAAGTAAACCAACCTCAACCAACCAACTAAACCAAGCCAACAAGCCAAGTAAACCAACCTCAACCAACCAACTAAACCAAGCCAACAAACCTAGTAAACTAACCTCAACCAACCAACTAAACCAAGCCAACAAACCTAGTAAACTAACCTCAACCATCCAACTAAACCAAGCCAACAAGCCAAGTAAACCAACCTCAACCAACCAACTAAACCAAGCCAACAAGCCAAGTAAACCAACCTCAACCAACCAACTAAACCAAGCCAACAAACCTAGTAAACTAACCTCAACCAACCAACTAACCAAGCCAACAAACCAAGTAAACCAACCTCAACCAACCAACTAACCAAGCCAGCCAAACCAAGTAAACCAAACTCAACCAACCAACTAACCAAGCCAACCAAACCAACCAACCAACCAACCAACTAAACCAAGCCAACAAACCAAGTAAACCAACCTCAACCAACCAACCAACCAGCCAGCCAACCAACTAACTAACCAAACTATCCAACTAAACCAAACCAAGCTATTTGTGAAAGGCTACAACAATAGTTTTATCAATAAATTCCCCAAATAACCATCACTTGTATTCACTCTCATTGACCTGACATGTCTTTCATTGTTTACTCACCAGTCTGAATCAAGGACACATTTTTTGCCTTATTCAGACTCTGTCCTACAACTAAAGATCAGTGCCAAACATAGCACAGATCTTTCTCTGCACTGCTGTGTCTGTCAACACCAGCCAAAATCCCAAATGACACAATCCTTTGTTACAAAAGCCAAAACATTGGTCCCTGTTTACTCTCTGACATCATGTGCCAAATTAGCTTCTTAGATGTTGATAAAATTTGTCTCATTAGTAAAAATACGCAGTTTTATTTATCAGAGCTCTTTTAAACCAGTGGAGAGAAACTGAGAAGGAACTTCTCTAAGAGAATCTAATGGTCTCTGAGTCACACCAAGTCCAGCTCAGAGACCAGACCTGTCCACTACCATATCATCTCCACACACACACACACACACACACACACACACACACACACACACACACACACACACACACACACACACACACACACACACAAAGGAACTGACATCTACGATGTGTGCAGTTGACATAATACAAATGTATTTATGGCCGAAGGAATAGCTTTAGATTGTGTGTTTATAGTTTTGGCAGGTAAGTTTACCTGCTCTCTACATAATATTTAAGATAGGATTAGAGGTTTCTTTGTCGATGTCATAAAATGTACAGCACAAACAGGAGGTATGGCGCCTAATTATGCTGCTATAATCTCAGTGTGGTTCACACATCGGTGGTGTTAGAACACAATGTTCTAGTTCCTCTTATGTGAATGTCGAAATGAGTTCATTTAAACATTACAAGAAAATTTAAACTAGATCTTCACAGAATAATGTTTAAGCAGACATACTGAGAAAAGATAAATGAACACAAAGAAGATAAAATAATCAAAGAAAGTTTTCTGTTATCAAAAATGTGCATTTGTGGGAAAATCTAGTTAACGTGTCTATGTATTTAATCAACAGCAGCAGAGCAAAATAACCCCAATCCAATCTCAAGTTGCAGACCCATTCACGAAGCGTCTGTAGTTTGTTATCAGGGAAATAACCACAATCATCAGGAGCTGGAGTTAGGCTCAAGGCCTTCAAGTTGATGTATTCACTTGACTTTATAAATGCTTTGGGAAATTTATAAATGATGTTGGACCTACTTACAGATGCTTACAGATCTTAGTTGTGTATAACTCTGGCTTCTGTTAGCGATAATAATGAGACAAACCTGTGGAAAAAAAACTGTCTCCCTACACTGTGATCATTTTTAGAAAATCAAAAGCATTGATCAATTGATCATTTATTTATGGTGGGTTGTTTTCAAGTCTGAGTCGTAAACAGACAAAACAAAAAGAAAATATTGGATTGAGTTTTAACTTGATGGGTGTTTAGGATTAAAAAAAAGAGGTTGACTGGGACATTGATGATCCTTTAAATTTCTGGGACATGAATGCTGAAACACTAATACCACCCTGCCTCCTTTAGGCAATCCACACGTTAACGCATCAGCAGCAGACAGTGGAAGTTTCTTCATACATACGGAGCTCATCAAAGTGTGTTTCCATGCCGTCAGCCCCGGGCACCGAGCAGATGAGCCTGGCCTTTAGGAAGGTGCTCCACTTGTTCACCAGACAACAGTGACCCCCATCATCATTCTGGTTAAAAGACAAAACACAGATACTCCATCAGCTGCACCCACCTCAGTGGATTACTGCACCCACCTCTCTAGTGAAAACAAACCAGTGCTGAGCTGCACACACTTGCACAGACACATACACACACACCACACACACATGTACAGGGGTGTAGGTTGATGATCATCCCCAAAAAAACACCTGCAACCAGTGTGTGCCTTTCCATAACCATCTTATGTCAACACTCAAATTTGTGTTGACTTGATTTAAGTGGTCACAGGCCTCACATTCTTCACACAGTTACATTTGTGGAGAAAAAATGTTTTCATAATTTTAATTGTAGTTAGAGAGAGTATACCTTCAGTGGAGCGAAGGACGCAAATACGGACAGTAAGAGCATCCAGATGTGAGGCGAAGCAAGAATGATAGGAGGTCAGTGGCGCAGCTCACTGGGAGGGGTGTGTGTGTGTGTGTGTGTGTGTGTGAGCGTGTGTGAGAGCATGTGTGTGTGTGTGTGTGTGTGTGTGTGTGTGTGTGTGTGTGTGTGTGTGTGTGTGCAGGGTCAGTGCCTGGCCCACCCCTTCAAAATAAATGCAACAGTGAACAGCTGACACGCCACATTGTCTCCCATACCCTTTCTCATATCTGCTGTTGTGCTCACACAACAGTGCAAGCCTGATGGGGAAGCACACACACACACGCACACACACACACACACACACACACACACACACACACACACACACACACACACACACACACACACACACACACACACACACACACACACACACACACACACACACATACACACACACACACACACACACACACACACACACACACAATCAGCTCAGAGACACGCACAACAAGATTTTATGAAGCAGTTGCCATTATTTATTTTTCTGGCTCGGTTTGCGTTTTTTTTCTAGAGCCATCCTGTACATCAATATAAATCCTCTAGCTTCAGCAATGAGGGTCTGCATTCTAGGCCAATGCTCGAATGAATCTCTAACCCTTTTGGGAGCACCAGGGGGAAGAGGCCAAGCGATCACAGGGTCAGAGGTCAAAGGGCATTCTCTCAGACACAAGGATGCCTTGTAGACAGGGAGGTTAAAGACACATGTGGATTCCAGCATGTTAGCCTTAGCCAAATACTATCTCAGAGCCCGTAAATATTCAGACACAGTGGGTAACTTGCCTCGGGGGACTGCAGGTTCTTCATACAGATGCTTTAGGTTTTCTTTTCATTAAACAAAGTGAAAACACTCCTTGTTGTATACACACCAGGCAGATGCGTCCAATCCGGGACTGGGTCACAGGGGTCTGGCCCATCTCTGAGGACTTTTCCCGGAAGAAGAAATAGAGCTTGTCATCATTTCTCTCAGCGCTGTCTGGGATGAGCTGCACGTGAATGAAGGTGGGGTCTGATAGGTAGAAAACATGTTGAGATGTTTAAGAGACAGAAGAATCTGGAAAGACATCTGGCTTACATACTTGGCTCTAAGCATTTGCATTCACTAGAATACAGTTTTACTCTATTGCACAGTTTCATTAATGCAAGAAAGCTACATGAGAGTAAAGAGGAGCTGCACCATTCAACCATCTGGAGTTGTACTGATCCGTTCGCATGGCTGTCTTTGTTCCCAAAGTCCGGAAAATAGCAGAGTCTGTTCCCATGAAGTCGACATAGACCCCAGCGTACAGCTCACCATCTGAAACAGGAGAAAACTGTCCAGTTTAGTAACAATCTTTGACTCTTTCCAGCACCACCCTTGGCACAGAACAAAGGCTATAAGAATTATCTTTGTACCACTAAAATCCAGCTGTGCACACATGAGCCATTGTGGACTGAACTCTCATCAATCCATCCATCCATTTTCTGAACCCGCTTGTTCATGTGTGTGTGTGTGTGTGTGTGTGTGTGTGGGGGGGGGGGGGTGTCCATCAACAAATATAAAACTGGATGAAGGAACAAAAACCTAAATGAAACTGAAAGTCCCACCCATACGTGTAAACAAACAGGACATTGGAATTAACTCATTTACTGACATTGACGACTAAAGTCTTCATTTGCAATTTTTTACTGTGTGGGCGTCGGAACGAGCCCCCACACCGTGAGAACAAACATCTCAGCTCTAAAGCTGATCTCCATCCGCGTATGTCACACGTCACGTGATCAGGAAGCAGAACATCCATGTGTTAGGAGATCGTTTTGGGCCGCTGCTCTAAAAAAAGTGAGGCGCGAACCGGAAAAGCTTCTGCCGATCACAATTCAACAACGGATTATGAAAGAACGGATAACACTCGAAACACTCAGATTCTTCCTGATGTAAGAGGTGAGTCTTCGCTTTGTTTTGGTTGTTTTGGCGTCAACATCATCCTAGCGCATAATGTTTTGTGATTCTTAAAAAAACAGTGAAAATGCAGAAAAACGCTGTCAGCGAATGAGTTAACGGTCTTGTTGAACTAAACACTTTTTTTCTGCACTGAGGCAAGCAACATACAAGCAGTAAAACACTGTAAAGACTTTTTACACACAAACACATTTCAGAATGGCCAAATATCCACAAAAACACCAATTTCTTTCAGTTGAAACCAAACAGTTGAATTCATGTATGTTTAACAAGCTTAGAATTCCCTGTTGTTTCACAGCTTTTTGTTTTCCTGTCAACAAGTTTCACTAAGGAACAATAAAGACCAGACATACAGAACTGTTATGGCAACCAGCCTTCTCTCAGGCCTTTAAGACACACTAAATCATATCTATGAACACATTGTGTTGAGTGTGTAGCCTGATAAATACACACAACAGCCTTGTTAAGTTACAGGAGGGGCAAGGGTTTGGTCTTCCAGCTGTTCTGCTGGCCCCACTGGCGAGCAGGTGTGACTCTCTGAGTGTGAAGACAGCAGAAACAAGAACGACTGTTCTCCCACCGTCACAGTCAATGTCACGGTCCCGGGTGGCGCTACAGGGAGATTGATGAGACATCATTAAAACATCCACGGATGACTGGATGTCTAATCTACTGGTGAGCTGAGCAGTTGGTGGTCACTGGTAAATCTTCTGTTGTGGTAATATGTTCTTAATCCTTATCAACACTAACAACAGACTCCCTTGTATGATGCAAACTGATGGAGGTGGGTGGCAGAGCCATCTTAGACGACATTACTGGTTCCATAGTGGTCAGCAGCCACTGCGCTAAAGTGGGAACGCAGCGACTGGGATTTACACCCGCTGCCTGGACCCACAGAGAGAAGATCGCCTTTCACTGGTGGAAACTCTGTGGCTTGAGCTCAACTACAAGACCTTGGGAAAAAGGACGGTGACCTCATTTGCACTATGACACATTAAAGATAGAACACCCAGACTCCATTTAACTCATTCACTGCCAATGGCGACTAAAGTCGTCATCAGCATTTTTTTACTGTGTGGGTGTCGGAACGAGCCCCCGCACCATGAGAACAAACATCTCAGCTCTAAAGCAGATCTTCAGCCACATACGACACACGTCACGTGATCAGGAAGCAGAACATCCATGTGTTAGGAGATCTTTTTGGGCCGCTGCTGTAAAAAAAGTGAGGCGCGAACCGGAAAAGCTTCTGCCGATCACAATTCAACAACAGATTATGAAAGAACGGATAACGCTCGAAACGCGCGGATTCTTCCTGATGTAAGAGGTGAGTCTCTGCTCTGTTTGGGTTGTTTTGGCATCGACATCATCCTAGCGCGCAACGTTCTGTGACTCTGAAAAAAAAACAGTAAAAACGGTGAGAAACGCAGGCAGCGAAGGGCTTTATCGATCAGGAAACGGCTGGCAGCGAAGGAGTAAATGACAAAAGTTGAATATTAATAAAAATACAGTAGGAAATAACAACCTCTGCTTCATAGAAATCAGTGCTAAGCTGATTTATTAAAGAAAGTAGACCTAACATCATAATGAATGTTAAAGGTGCTGCCAGTGGCTCATTAAGGTCATCATGGCAACCAAATATTTGTGTCTCACTCACCGACAGCAAACCTAATGAGAGGCAGAGGAACAGAGAGGTCAACAGCGCCTTTCACCACAATGTCAGAAAGTTCTGATGGCCACAGCTTCACTTCTAGTTAGGACGACAAGCTTCAGATCTAGCATATGACTGAAGCTTGGGTGTTAACTTCAATAATATGATGATGACCATGAGTTTTATAATGGTGAGAGACACTATAAGGCCAACATATCAGTAAATCCATGTTTATTCTGGAAATATAATAAATGGGCTGTGGAAATATGGAGAGTTTGCAAGAAGTTTTTAGTTCAAATGCCAAATGTGCCAGAGCGTCACTTTGTGTGGAAAAACCTTAAAAATTATAAAACCTAAAAATGCATAAAACCCGTAAAACACATCAAAATAAAAGCTCAGTGATGTGCAGTCAAAGCTTCTGTGACCTGTTTAAAGATGTTTCTGTGGGGAAGTCTGCCTGCTCAGAAGGGGGCGAAGCTTTCCTGCCCGTTTCACCAAAATCACATTATTAAAATGTCAGACGGAGGGGTTGGTGGGGCTAGGGGTGGGGACTGCAGATGGATTCACAGATTTTTTTTCGGTAATTTTGGAGATTTCAATGTATAAACAGCTCTAAAACTTCAAATGCAATATAATTGATGTGTTTCCGTTATTGTTATCTATGCTGTCCTCTGTGTCCACTTTCCTTGACATTTGTTTGTGTTAGTATAATGGGATGACTGCTTTTGTCTCTGTCACGTGACTTGTAAATACTATCTCTGTATGTTTCCACTACTTTGTGTCTAACATCAACCTGCCGGAGGGTCTGCAGATGGAAATTAGCCCAAGGCTATAATCTGGCATATTTACCTTTATTGAAAAGTTCATTAATATGTATTGCCCCTCTTCCTAAAAAATAAATAAATAAATAAAATAAAATAAATAAAATAAGCACCGTACGCTGTAAAAAGCGCATGTGCAGAGATGTCCGGTATGGCGTACTAGGCCACTTAGCTGAGAGTGTGAGAACGCACCTGTTTTCAGTTGCTTTAAAATCAGTTAGAGTTATTTATTTGTATGTTTTTTGACTGGTGTTTATGTCACATTTTAATTTATTTTATTATGAGTCGTATTCTCAACATTATAGCAAATGGCTTTGTTTTTAGTGAATTGGCTGGTTAAGCACTTTCATGCTAATGTAAAGGAGTAAATAAATAAAGTTGACTTGACTTAACTGCACAAAGTCACAGAAAGTCAGTTCATTGTAATGATTTAAGCCTCTTATCAAACATTTGCATGTTTGTTTTTTTGCTGTTTGGAACGTAAAGAATCACGACAGGAACAATGTTGGGAACTCAACAAAAGTACATCAGTGATTTAGCTTCCTTACCTTATTTACTGCAACTACGGCTCAATGCCCGATGAAGAAAATCAGGCATTAAACGTGACTTTTTAAATACCGCTCGCCCGTTTATCAGTTCTGGTACAAAATACATGCTTGTAAGGAAAGACGCATTAGTGAGTTGAAGGTGTTGGCTAAATCCCCACTGGAGAAAAACCACCTTAGCATTGGCACATTACTGCACCCATCAGCACCTTAAAGGGGGGTTCTGTAGGATTTTGTGATTAGACTCATTAGGAAAAGCAGCTTACAGCAAGAAATCAGCCCGTGCTCACAACTAACCTCCTTCCACCAGCCCATAATCCCAGGGTGTGTTTAGTCCATGTATCCAACGTGCTGAGGAGCTTTTTGTTGTTGCAGGTTGTCTAGGTAACCTGAACGTATGGAGTCAGGGGTGGACTGGCCTATCTGGCATTCTGGCACTGTCCCGGTGGGCCGCTTGCCCAGCTTGTGGCTTTCACATTCGGCGGCATAGGAATGAGTCCGCGAGCAGCGCACAACCCCCACCCCTCTGAGGGCCGACGGTTCATAAAAATGCCAGTGCTGAATTTTCGTCCCAGTCCACCCCTGAATGGAGTGGAAATAGTTTTATATTCAAATAATAAAAATCTAATATGGGGTCTACTTTTTTAAATAGATTTAAAACACTGAAACTATGAAGATCTAAGTTTCATGCTTTCTGCAAAAATTGACCAATTTCATCCCTAGCCGTTTTACTAAAAGGTGTATTTTAATTCAGAAGGTTTATCTATTTCACCCCAAACCTGGTAGTGGTCCTAAAGATAACAAAAGTCTGTGTTTAATTATACACACAAACTAAAGATGACAGAAAACGCAACAGACGCGTTTATAGGTTATCTACAAGCATGCAAAAAGTCAAATGAAGGCAAAAAAAAGGGAAATCTTCCAGCTGAAATGATGAATTGTGACAAAAAAAAGTCTCACAAAGAATTAGAGGAGGCAAATCAGACTGTTGTTGTAAGGATTTGGTGTGCTCGTGTCTTCCATCCTCACATGACTGAACCAACACAATACTCACTAATCAAAGCAGACACGCTGTTGAGCTTCGGGTCGTAGGAGCACTTTCCCTTCCCAGACTCCACTCTTCCTGGTTCCAAGTGGAAGATTTCTTCCTGAAATGGAAAAATCAAATGAAGAGGGCAATAAATCCAGCGCTCTTCATCCTGTCTCAGCGACTCCCAGGTGGAGGGAGGAGGATGGAGCAAATGCGCTGCTTCCGACACCTGCGAGACCTACTGGGCCCGATGGGGGTGTGGGGTGGTGTTAAAATAATGAGCATGTGTTCACACAGAAAAATACATGCAGAGAAATACAGGAATTTCAAATCCATCTTCACTCCAGATAGGAGTGTTGTGTCTCACTGAATAATGAGCTTCAAGCCACAAATCTCCCAGCTCCTCGGTGCCGACGGGTGTGCAGGTCGGCGGCTGACACCTGTAATCCGGCAGAGCAAAACAAGCCAACGATGGAGGCTGGATGACTGATGCTCCTGCTTATGGCATCCTATAGCTCATGGGCACGGAGGGGTGATTGGCAGGAATGTGAGTAGGGGGGGGAAAGCGTGGCATGCGATGACATGTCCTGTGGCTAGGCCTCACAGACCCAAGCATGTCCAGTGCTCGTTTTTCACGCCCAGCGGGGACAGAGATGGAGCCATCTTTGTCACTGTCCATCAGCACTACAGCAAGGGAGAGACGGTGGCATTTTGCCAAACACACCTTTCTGCATCACTCACACACTCGCTCGCAGCTTCCCACTCATATCTGATTAAAATCACCACTTGGGCAAATAAGAAGGTGCTGATAGTTAGAACTCGAAGCCACGCCAGATGGTGACGTTAAAAAAAAACTTTTGTAAAAAGGCCGATATGTTTGGGTGTGCTGGAGAAAATATGTGTCATAATTGTTATTTTATAAATACTCCGCAATTAAACATTTCTTACTAATGTATGGCAGCATTTTATGGCTATTGATGAGGGAAGGGGTAACACTCGGAATAAAAATATCTCCGAAACCCACAATTACTGTCAGATAGTTTTATGATAAAAGGAAACATTTTAATGATTAGATGGACATATTTGTGATGAAGTGCTTTGTTTAAGTATACAAAAAAACCTGGTATGGTATGAAAACTGCATTTTCTGAAGTGTATATTAAAAATGTGCACAACAAACACAGTCAACATTTGCAGAATTGAACTAAACTATTCTTTTACGTGGATTGGGATTGAATGCACACATCATGAATAGAATTACGAGATTTTCTTTAAATTCACTTAAACAAATACAAGAAAAACGTCAAGACTTTAGAGGCTGGGATTAATGAAGTATCTTTGAATTTGAACATGCTATAAAACACTGAGATTTCATTTCAATTTTATTTCATTTAAAATTTGAGAAAAAAAGGAGCAAAGATTCTCGTCGGTGAAATTTGCAAATTTACAACGATGTTTGGAAATTCCAACTCTTCTAAGATAGAAGTTGTGTATTTAAAAGTAAACACATGTTTATGGAAACCAAAAGTGACATTTTTATGATCAATTAATAGGTCACCATTTTAGACTGTTGAAGGGCTCCGCTCATTGTTCCTTATACTGATGTTTGGTCCAAAGTGAGCAACTCAACCGTCTGGTTGTAAATCCAAATCCAGCTTATTTATAAATAAAAACTACGTGTACCGAAGTGATTGACTTTACATAACTGACCTACTATCACATAATGATGGACTTGACTGGGTCTGAACCTTTGTTTTATTTTAATCTGTGAGAATAAATGTCCAGGGGCCTCATTTATAAAGCACAAAACGGGGTCAGAAACCTGCGTAAGCAACTTTCCACGCAAACTTTGGGATTTATGAAAGAAAACTTAGCAGAAAAATGTGCACAACTTTAAGTTGACTAAGGACCTGGCTTACGCACATGTTGTACATGGAGAGCACCTGCAGTGCTGCTGCCGAGAAGGATACAATTATGAAATCCTGCAGCATTATCACTTGTACCGCTTCGTGCGCACACAGAACAAGTAACCCCCCCCCCACACACACACACACACACACACACACACACAGTGCGAAGCGCAGAATACGGAATTAAGCAATATCACACGAGAGGGAGTGCGTTGTTGCCGAATCACACCAGTGCTGATATTCAGCAACAACGCACAACCTCGAGTGTGATATTGCTTTTGTACAACAGTTCTACCTGCTCATTTTATTTTTTATAACAATAAGCAACAACAGATTATGATTTGTTCGTTTATTTAATCATTTATCAGGCTTCGCCAACACAAATAGTCCCGACACAAAACGGAGACTCAGACAAGGCTGTCGCTAGGCAACTCAAACATTTTCTACAATGACGGTTAGAACGCTTGTGCACAGCAGAGTGATACTGTTTGTAAACAGTCCCAGTGCTGTTATCGTCCAATATCAGCACTCTCGGAAAGTCTCTTGACCAATCAAATCACTTGGTCAGAACTAACTGTTGTATAATGCAGAATATCAGCAGGGGGACAGATTGAGAAGGAATGTCATGCGTCTGTGACAGTGTGGCAGTCCTGTCACTGTGACCCGATTGATCATGCGCCCTAGTAACTTGGCCAAAGGGGATGTCCCTTTGGCTGACTGGTTAGCGTGCGTGACTCTCACCAGGGAGTTTGGGGATCGAATTCTGATCGGACCACTTTTATATATCCGCCACAGATCTCTCTGAAGAACTCGCAGCATTGACGGCTTCAGCAACGCTGTGCCACTACGTGGATTTTCTCTTATTTGTTTTTGCAAAAGCACTTCCTTTCATTTCTCCACCTCACCCACAGGTACCTCAACTTCTGCTTCTGTGAAATTGCACTTTCTTGATTTGTGGTCGCCATCATTAATGGCAGAGCGCTGCAACGAGCCGGCTGCATGCTATATGCATGAGATCCACAAGGCACTTTGCATTGACTATTTATAGCAGTAAGTGGGCGTGGTGAGGGCGGGATGTGACTCAGAAACAGCTGAGAACCTTTCTAGTTAGTGTCTGATTTATAAAGCAGAGATGCGTGCAGCTGTGCGTACTCCATGTTTGATAGATCACAAACCTACTTGGCGTAGGTACATTTTTGTTTTGCTGAGCTTAAGTACGGGTTTAGTAAGGATTCTACGCAGTGTTTTATAAATGAGACTCCTGGTGTCAAGGTCCAGTATTTCTTGTAAATGTACTATTTTAATCTCAGATAATGTTTTTATGGTTTGTGAGTTAATAACCTCATCAAACATTAGTTTTTATGCTAAATTTAAGACTTCAATCCTAAAGGTGAACATTTTTTCCCACAACTTAATACATTTTTTCATCTCAATCGTATTTTTAAACCCTGTTTAGTTGCAGGTTTGGGACATTCCCACAACTGAGAATGTCTCATGGTTTAATGTGAAATATGCATTCTTTTTAATTTAGACTTTTCTCTGATCTTAACCCCTGGCTCTAACCAATGGCCCTAAAATGCTGCTGCAAGAATAAAGTCAAGCAACAAATAAAAACAAACAAACCCAAACCCACACCACATAGAACCATGACGTCATTTAAAGGTCCCTGTCTGTGTTTCTGGACTGCTTGGAGTGGAGGCACATTGGTGTTGCTCTGTTATTTCCTTCGCCGCACAGCTAGCTGCCTACAGCTGGCTGGAGTTTGTCCTAGACAAGCGCAGCCTGCTGTGGGAGCGGGTCAGATGCTGACTAGGGCTCTGTGGGGTGTACGACTCGATGGGACAAGCTGCATTGACTCAGATAAGAAAAGATGAATGATTAAAACCATGTGCATGTAAAATATATGCTAAATAAAATAAATGTCATGCATTGAAACGTGATAAAAGACAGTTGGTTTGAATTAGTGGCTTGAGATGATTGTTTTTAATAAGCTCATTCTGCACGATGACCCAGCTCTCATGCAAAACATGGCATTTAACGCAGACGGCATGGACCATGGGTGACCAGTACAGGGTGCTCTAACAAAAAGGCTCACACAAAGGAAATATGGTAGAAACGTGAAAGAAACTATTTCACATGAAATGCGTTTATAAAACCATACAATTCTCAGAGATTGTACACGAACTAGAGAAAATGCATGCCACATGTTACAAAGATAAACGAGTGATGGCCTTATGAGAGGCAGTGGTGACACAATGTGCTCAGACATGGACAATGGGAGCATGCTGCTGGTGACCACGAGCCCAGGCAGTGCGCTGGGCTGTGGTGCAGACAGGGCCCACATCGCACCTTTAGTCCAAGTGCTTCGTGCACCGCGCTGGGTTCGGCCGCGCGGCTAGCCCTTCCTCTGGCCTGGGCCATCTGCAGATACATGGATGTCTAAAACAGGAGACAGCAATACAGTCTGGATGTTATGCGTCTGAGGAGCAGGGATCAAGGCCTTTCCTGAACTGAGCCTCCCATGATTCACGGATACGATGAGAAACTCCTCAAACTATACAATGGAGAAAATTCTTGAGGTTGGTTTTTTAACAATTTTGAAGTCCGTGTAAAAATTAAGAAGACTTGATATTTTACAAAATGTGGATAGCTTTCTGAATGGCCAGTGTTCAGAGAAATACAGATGTTGCTGGCCAACGGTTAGTCGGAGTGCAGCACAGACAGAAGAGTGTGGTGCCATCTTAATGTAATGCTGCTTCAGTCTCTGCTTTTATTGTTTTACGGCTGCCAATTGTTTTCATTTTGCAAACTTTCTTCAAACTGGAATTTATTTTAAGGTCATTATCACCAAACCCTATAACCAACGCAGGGTTTCCTCTGAAATGATCCTGCAGTGCAAAGGCTATGTAAACACTTTTTAAATCACTTGAACTAAGGATTTATAGAAGCGTTTCACTGTCAGTGCAGGGACATTTAAAGAGGTAGTATCTTGTATTAACAAGAAACATTCTCGTAATAACTTATAAAAGTAGTTATAACAAGAACGTTTCTCATTCACTGCCATTGACGTCTAAAGTCGTCATTTTAGATCCAACCGTTCACTGCCAATGACGACTAAAGTCGTCATTTGCATTTTTTTACTGTTTGAGCATCAGAACGAGCCCCAGCACTGAGAGAACAAACATCTCAGCCCTGAAGCCGATCTTCATCCGCATACGTCACACGTCATATGATCAGGAAGCAGACCATCCATGTATTAGGAGATCATTTTGGGCCATTCCTGTAAAAAAAGTGAGGCGCGAACCGGAAAAGCGTCTGCCGATCACAATTCGACAACGGATTATGAAAGAACGGATAACGCTCGAAACACACGGATTCTTCCTGATGTAAGAGGTGAGTCTCCGCTTTGTTTTGGTTGTTTTGGCATCGACATCATCCTAACGCACAGCGTTCTGTCTCTTAAAAAAACATTAAAAACGGTGAGAAACACTGGCAGCGAAGGCCGTTAGCGATCAGGAAACGGCTGGCAGTGAATGAGTTAATAATGAGATTGCTCGTAACGGTGAAACGCCAACATCTCGTGGGATGTTTGAATCTCGTCCAGAAGAAACAAAGGGAGAAGTTAGAGTCAGAGAGAGGCTCTTTAAGGCTTTTTAAAAGCATTTTGTCAGACGAAAAAATGTCTCCACACTTCGGTCAAACCGTCCTCCAACAGAGAGAACCGCTCTCATCACGGTGGTTCCTATTTCTAGTCGAGCTTTCAAAGTAAAATTTGACTTCCTGTTAGTGTTTTTTCACATTAAAAATCTTCAGAACCTTTTTAAATTGATAAAATTATATTAGCATGTCCCAATATTACAAATGCTCTGTTTGTGTGGTAAGTCTGTGGGAATTATGTATCTGTTACACCTAAACGCAATCATTGGTATGAAAAACTGTCAGAGTGTTGCCTGGGCGGAGCCGACGGATACGTTTCTTTTTGTTTGGCAGCTTTCCCCTGAAGGAGCCGGAGCTTGTGGCAGAAGTTGAGCGGTACCGGCTAGATATAGTCGGACTCACCTCGACACATTGCATTGGCTCTGGAACCCGAGACCTGGAGAGGGGTTGGACACTCTACTTTGCTGGAGTTGCTCCGGGTGAGAGGCGGAGAGCTGGGGTTGGCTTTTTGTTAGCCCCGAGACTCTCTGCCTGTGTGTTGGGGTTTACCCCGGGGGACAAGAGGGTAGCTTCCTTGCGCCTTCGGGTCGGGGAACGGGTCCTGACTGTTGTTTGTGCTTATGGGCCAAATATCAGTTCAGAGTACCCACCCTTTCTGGAGTCCCTGGGACGAGTGCTAGATAGTGCTCCATCAGGGGACTCCATTGTCCTGCTGGGGGACTTCAATGCTCACGTGGGCAATGACAGCTTGACCTGGAGGGGTGTGATTGGGAGGAACGGCCCACCTAATCTGAACTTGAGCGGTGTTTTGTTATTGGACTTCTGTGCAAGCCGCAGTTTGGCCATAACGAACACCATGTTCGAACATAAGGATGCCCACCGGTACACTTGGTACCAGGGCAGCCTAGGTCACAGGTCGATGATAGATTTTGTAGTCGTATCATCTGACCTGCGGCCGTATGTTTTGGACACCCGAGTGAAGAGAGGGGCGGAGCTGTCAACTGATCACCACCTGGTGGTGAGTTGGATCAGATGGCAAGGGAACATGCCGCGTAGACCTGGCAGACCCAAACGCATAGTGAGGGTCTGCTGGGAACGCCTGGAAGAAGAACCTGTCAAGACGGTCTTCAACTCCCACCTCCGGCAGAGCTTTGACCACGTCCCGAGAGCAGTGGGGGACATTGAGTCCGAGTGGGCCTTGTTCCACTCTGCGATTGTCGAGGCGGCTGTTGCTAGCTGTGGTCGTAAGGTGGCCGGTGCCAGTCGTGGTGGCAACCCCCGTACCCGCTGGTGGACACCAGAGGTTCGGGGAGCCGTCAGGCTGAAGAAGGAGGCCTACAGGGCGTGGCTGGTCTGTGGGTCTCCGGAGGCAGCAGACAGGTACCGGACAGCCAAGCGGGGTGCAGCAGTGGCAGTTGCCGAGGCAAAATCTCGGGCGTGGGAGGAGTTTGGTGAGGCCATGGAGAAAGACTATCGATCGGCTCCAAAGAGGTTCTGGCAAACTGTCCGGCGCCTCAGGAGAGGAAGGCAGCAACTCGCTCACACTGTTTACAGTGGGGATGGGGAGCTGCTGACGTCAACTGAGGCTATAGTCGGACGGTGGAAGGAATACTTTGAGGAGCTCCTCAATCCCACCAATGCGCATTCCGAGGAGGAACCAGAGCTGGGAGGCCTGGGGATGGACTGTCCGATCTCGGGGGCAGAAGTTGCTGAGGTAGTCAAACAACTACACAGCGGCGGAGCCCCGGGGGCGGATGAGGTTCGTCCTGGGTATCTCAAGGCTATGGATGTTGTAGGGCTGTCATGGTTGACACGTCTCTACAACATTGCGTGGTCATCGGGGGCAGTTCCTAGGGAGTGGCAGACCAGGGTGGTGGTCCCCATCTTTAAGAAGGGTGACCTGAGGGTGTGTTCCAACTATAGGGGGATCACACTCCTCAGCCTCCCGGGAAAGGTCTACGCCAAGGTACTGGAGAGGAGGGTCCGATTGATAGTTGAATCTCAGATAGAGGAGGAGCAATGTGGTTTTCGTCCTGGCCGTGGAACTGTGGACCAGCTCTATACCCTTGCAAGGGTGATGGAGGGGGCATGGGAGTTTGCCCAACCAATCCACATGTGCTTTGTGGATTTGGAGAAGGCTTATGACCGTGTCCCCAGGGGCACCCTGTGGGGGACGCTCCAGGAGTATGGGGTGGGTGGCTTTCTGTTAAGGGCCATTCAGTCCCTTTACCAGAGGAGCGTGAGTTTGGTCCGCATAGCCAGTAGTAAGTCGGACCTGTTCCCAGTGAGGGTTGGACTCCGCCAGGGCTGCCCTTTGTCACCGGTTCTGTTCATCACTTTTATGGACAGAATTTCTAGACGCAGCCGTGGTGTGGAGTGTGTCGAGTTTGGTGGCAGGAGAATCTCGTCTCTGCTTTTTGCGGATGATGTGGTCCTCCTAGCTTCATCCAGCTCTGACCTTCAGCTCTTGCTGGGTAGGTTCGCGGCCGAATGTGAAGCGGCTGGGATGAGGATCAGCACCTCCAAATCTGAGACCATGGTTCTCGACCGGAAAAGGGTGGCTTGCCACCTCCGGGTCGGGGGAGAGGTCCTACCTCAAGTGGAGGAGTTTAAGTATCTCGGGGTCTTGTTCACGAGTGAGGGTAGGAGGGATCGGGAGATCGACAGGCGTATTGGTTCGGCGTCTGCAGTGATGCGGACGCTGAGCCGATCTGTCGTGGGGAAGAGGGAGCTGAGCCAGAAAGCCAGGCTCTCGATTTACCGGTCGATCTACGTCCCAATCCTCACCTATGGTCATTAGCTTTGGGTAATGACCGAAAGAACGAGATCGCGGATACAAGCGGCCGAAATGAGTTTCCTCCGTAGGGTGGCCGGGCTCAGCCTTAGAGATAGGGTGAGGAGCTCGGACATTCGGGAGGGACTCGGAGTAGAACCGCTGCTCCTCCGGATCGAAAGGAGCCAGTTGAGGTGGTTTGGGCATCTGGTCAGGATGCCTCCTGGACGCCTCCCCGGGGAGGTGTTTCGGGCATGTCCTGCCGACAGAAGGCCCCCGGGTCGACCCAGGACACGTTGGAGAGGTTACATCTCCAATCTGGTCCGGGAACGCCTTGGGGTCCTGCCGGAGGAGCTGGTGGACAAGGCCGGGGAGAGGACGGCCTGGAGCTCCCTAATTGGGATGCTGCCCCCGCGACCCGGACCCGGATAAGCGGAGGAAGACGAAGACGAAGAAGCTTTCCCCTGTTGTTGTGGCGCTGCTGCGCTGTACTTTCTAAAGTCTAAACACCAAGAACTGGAATCACTGTCCCGTTCGTTTGGGGTGAAATGCCACAGCTTGTGTCGCTGTTTTACCGTTATAAACATTCTCGTCATTACGAGATAAGAAACAAGTTTGTTGAGAAACTTTCTTGTTAAACCGACTTTTATATGTTGGTATTGCAGGAAAGTTTCCTGTTATAACAAGGTTTAGCTTTTTATCCTCACACCGACAATAATACACTTCAGTAACATTTCACTTTTGGTGATATTTACATTTGCAAACAATCATAAAATTTAGGTGAACTAACTGTGAAAAGTGGTGTAGCAGTGTAAAGCAGCTAAAATAATGTATGATGAAACTTGGGAGGTTTGTGCTGATTTAGGATGGTGACAAACACATTGGCCTCCACGTTTATCATGTTACTCATCAGTCCTGAAGATGTAAAAGCTATTTCTGTAAGCGAAGGTTTTTCAGGAAGCCATCTAAAAAAAGATAAGGCTATAATTATGTATAACATTTACGCAGAAATGTAAATGAACTTAGCTAAAAATAGCACAAATATGTCCGTAGCATAATTTATCTAGTCGTCTCCCCTGTCGTTGAGTCAGTAAAGGCTGACTCTGTGTACTGAACACTGTACATAGCTCTAAAACCAGCTGCCTCAGTAAAAATGTACTAGTGGAGTTGACTTAGACCCAGCCCTAACGCACATGTTCCTGAATTCATCCTTCACCGGTGATAACAGGCAGTCCGAACTAATTACGGCAGAACCTGTTTGTGCACCAATCTATGTGCAGTTTGTGTTTTATGTTTGTTGACTTACGGTTAACACCCCTAGACTGCCTGAGAAAGGTGCTATTGGGGGGGTCAGGAAACCCGTCTGTGTAGCGTTCCAGAGAAAATAACAGGCCTCTCATTAATGGACTACAACTGGAACAGTCCACCTGCACCCCATAACAAGAGCTCCCACTTCCAATTATCCAGCGCTTCATACGGTGGAGTCTGGCGGGTGGCCTGGATGGATGCATGACGGGGTGGATGGGTAGGTGAGCAGCTGGATGGAAACCCTTCATTAAATAGAGGCCATGGAGGAACTCGGAAAGGCTCTCTGAGATCTCAAGAGAAAGCAGCAAAGGAACGTTAACATTTTATTTACTACTTTTTACTAAAGTCCCCTGATCATAATTAGAGCCCAAGTGTGGTGTTTAAAGAAGACTGAGGTGTTAAAGGGGAGTGTGGCGAGGTAATTATGCCTGGCTAGGTTTAGGAAATTCAACAGGACCCATTAAAAGTTGAGACTAAACAGAGAAGCATTAAGTGCTCACTGGGGACAGCAGCTGTGTTGGTGAGCTGATTGGGGAACATATGGTACCAACAGCAGGTTTAATGATGGAGGGGAACTAGAGGGAGGCTAATATATACGCTGGATGGAGAGCAAACTTTGGTAGGTGAAAGAAAAAAAAAACAAGGAGGCAAGCTAGGCCAGTAATGATGGAAGCTGTTGTTGAGGTCACCATCTTTGGTTCTGCATTCTTTCATTTTTACTTTCTGACCTGAGGCTTGCGTCCGCGGTTGACAAAGGTACAAACTGGGTTGTAGGCTCCCGTTCCACAGATGTACAGATGAGTCCGGTTCCACGGCTCTACGAGGCGGATGAAGTTTGCACACTCCTCCTGGAATCACATCCTTCTTTTATCAGTTCAGTTGAGGAAGTGAGCAAAATAGACTGATAAAATATGATTCTATACAGAAATGTAAAAATAAATACAAAATAAAAAAATCACACCTGAATTTTAGATTAGCAAAAACTGAAAATGATGGCCTCTTTAATTCACCCTTTCTTAAATCAGGAATTGACTGTGATTAAATGCATTATTTGGAAAGCTGAGTTAGATCTCACATTTAGGATCAGAGGTCATGATTCAACAATAAAAATACAAAGAGGGAGGGGCAAAAATAGCCTCCATGGCAGAGGTTTAAACACAAAGACCTGTCTCACAATGACCAAATCCTGATGATCCCAAAGCCTTTTGGGACGGTATTCTATGGACTTGGGAGATAAGAGTAGGACTTTCTGGAAGGTGTGTGTCTCGTTCCACTTGGAGTAAAATTCAATTTAGAAGTGGTGGTGGTAGTGTGATGATCTGGGACTACTTTGCTGCTTCAGGACTTGGACCATTAATATAATTGTTGAACCCATGAATTCTGTTCTCTAGCAGAAAATCCTGAAGGATAATGTCTGACCTTTGACCTTAAACAAGGCATTCATGCTGGAAACCCTCTAGTGTACTTTAGGTTTTGTTTCCCTAATAAAAGACATCATCATTTGAAAACTGCATGTACTGAGTTATCTGAATATCTTAGATCTTAAACGTTTCAGTGTAACAAACAGATGACATCTCTTTTCCGCAGTGTCGTGTGGATGGAAGTACTGGATCTAACGTTCAGCCAGTCAACCCATTAGTGCCAGACTGAACTGCTCCAATTCATTCATGTCTCTAAGGCTAGATATAAGGGAACCATTTATTTCTTTGAAATTTGATTTAAATCCAAAATCAACCATTTAAAAACCAAAGCGAACAATGGGGGTATTTCAATACCTATAAAAAAAACACATTTTCTTTGTTAATGCTGAAGGGTTGTCTCTATACTCACATTGGAATCCTTCCCGCTCACAAGACATTCCATCCTCCTTCGTTCAGAAACTGGCCAGTGGATCTACAAGAGGGGAACAGAGCCCAATTCATTACTGTAATACCACCTGTTATACCTCAGTAACATTTATTGCATCTGTGGGTCGAGTCTGCAAATGAAGAATATCCACGTGGGCTAATATCGGTCCTGTTGGAATTGCCATAACCCAGTTAAAGTGTTTTTAAGAAGCCATGCCAGAAAGGCTGACGTCCAACATAAATGACCTGAGCATCAACTAAGAGGGCTGCTTTTGGGGTGATATTGGCTTCACTATTCTCCATCCATATGCTTAAATCACCAACTGCAACTCAAACTCAACGGCAATAAAACTGAACTTCTTCTAGTTGGCACTAAATCCACCATCTCAAAATCTGACAGCTTTTCTTTAACTATTGACAGCGCCATAGTCTCCCCCTCCCCTCACGTCAAGAGTCTGGGTGTCATCCTCGACAGCTCACTTTCTTTCCGAGCTCACATTAATAACATAATTCGGTCAGCATACTTCCATCTACGTTCCATAAACTGTCTTCACCCCTCACTGACCCCTCACACTGCCGCCATTCTCGTCCACAGCCTCGTCGACTCCCGTCTCGACTATTGCAATTCACTTCTTTATGGTCTCCCCAAGAAACTCCTTCATAAACTGCAACTGGTCCAGAATTCAGCAGCCTGTATTATCACCAGAACCCCTTCCTTTCACCACATCACCCCAGTTCTCCAACAGCTTCACTGGCTCCCAGTTAAATTCATCTTCAAAATTCTCCTCCATACCTTCAAAGCAATCCATAACCTCTCTCCTCCATATATCTCAGGCCTTATAAGTATTCACACCACATCCCGTTCTCTCAGATCTTCTTCTTCCATCCATCTTGCGGTTCCTTCTGCCCGTCTCGCTACCATGGGGAGCAGAGCTTTCAGCCGCTCTGCTCCTCGTCTCTGGAACTCACTTCCCCCAGACATCAGGAACATTGACAGTTTTACCCTTTTCAAAACAAAACTCAAAACACATGTTTAAATCTGCCTATGACCTCTGATTTTATTGAACTGTTTCTCTCTTTGTTTTTTCTTGTTTGGGTTTTATTATTGTTTTATTGTATTTTATTAAGTATTTTCTGTCAAGTGACCTTGGGTGTTCTGAAAGGCGCTTTTAAATAAAATGTATTATTATTATTATTATTAAATCATGACTAAATGGAAATGAAATGTATGTGCTGTAGGTTAGAAATCTTGGTGTTATCATCGACTCCGACCTGAGCTTCTCTGGACGCATTAAAGCTATAACTAAATCAGCATTTTATCACCTTCATCAAATAGCAAGAGTCAGAGGTCTCATAACCAGACCAGACTTGGAGAAAATCATTCATGCTTTTATTTCCAGCCGGTTGGACTGCTGCAATGGTCTCCTAACTGGTCTTCCCAAAAAAGCTGTGAAGCAACTGCAGCTTGTTCAGAATTATGCTGCTAGTCTTAACAAGAACTAAGAGATGACTCCTGTTCTTAGATCTCTACTCTAGTGACCAGTAAACTACAGAATAGATTGCAAAGTGGTTCTACTAGTTTATAAATCACTCAATGGCACGGGGCCAAAATACATGTCAGATCTCATTCCTGTATATACACCCAATAGGGCTCTGAGATCCTTAGGTAACGATTAGCTGGTAGAACCTCGGGTCAGAATCAAACAAAGATGCTTTTACAGTATCTACTTTGCTGCTCGCATATGAAATCAGCTCCCCCTGTACCTCAGATCTGCTTTATGAAGTCTTAGAAGTCTTACAATATGTGGGCTGTTGTTGATGTCGTGGAGGTCCAGGGACAGGATGTGGTCCTTGCTGCCAACATACATGCGATCATGGTCCTCGTCCATTCGGAGGATCCGATAGTCGGATGCATTTAGGAGGTAGGCAAAGTGATGAGCGGTACCAGTGGACCTCAGCTCTGCAGGGACACAGAAATAATGACAGCTGCAGTTACAGATGCACATTTTCACACACACACACACATACACACACGTATGGACGCCCAACATATCTGCCGTGGCATTCCAACACAGCCGTGTGACCTTATCTGATGATTTTCCACCAACATGACGTAACCATACATTCAAGAAAAGTGCTACTGAGTGTCACGTTGTGTTGACGGCTTTATGCCTTTTGAGTGGATCAAAAGATTGGGTATGTCTCCTCAGCTGTGGCCTGTGACTGAGTAGATGGACTGATCTGAGGCTTCGTCAGTAACCAGAAATGGGTTAGGAGGGTCTACATAATTTTATGGGTTTAAAGTCTTCCAAGACTTTCTTGGACTCTAATATCTGAAGGTCAAAGTACGGTGTGCCTTTAGTAAGACAATGCATTGGACACGCCCTCACATGTTGAGAGAAACCCAATATTCTGTCAGCTCTGTGTTGAAGTGTTTGTTTGATATGTTCTCCTTGGTTCAGCAGCGGCGTACAGGCAGAGCCAAGAAGCCGCTGCTCCAACAGCAAAGGTCACACACACCCCACCATAGACAAACACACTCCCTTACAACCTATAAGGAAAGGAATGAACAAACGGTGTTCACGTATTGTTGGACAAACGCTATCTTAGCTCAAAGAAGAAGGAAGGTCCAGTTTCAGGGTCTAGTTTTGGGTGTAGCAGTGGCAAACTTCTCCAAACATAGGTCCACCATTGTTTAACCCTCTGGAGGCAGGCGTTGCAGATTAGCAACGTTAAAACCTGCCTACCTGGTTACTCCACGTACGTATTTCATGAGCATTTTTTTAACTCAGAAGTACCCCTGAAGGACTTAGTGTTTTGTCCTTTTATCAAAACTTATTTTGAACCTGAGGGGCTAAAAGCCAGCATGCAGGAAATGTAGTCAGTGTGAGGGCAGTACCTTAGTACTTTCACACATAAGGGTTATTTCTAGATTTGAAAATGTCCCGAGGTAGTTTTTTTGTTTTTTAAATTACAACAAAATGTTATGATTTTGGACCCATGCATCCACACAAACAGTATAATTAACAAAAAACTGTTTAACCACCTCCCTGTCCTGGAGGCGACCCTTCCAGGACAGGGGGTGGTTTAGCATGGTTGATAGTTTTGTCCTTGGCAAGGTTGAAGTGGTGCACGCCTAAAAAAAATAAAAATAAAGTAAAAAAGCACCTGGCGCCCATCTGACCCCATTATCAATGCGGGAGGGTTAAATGATTTTCTTCATATCCAGGAATGAGAACGCTCTTCTTCTGTCTTGCCCTGTAAATAATGCAAACGTCTGAAGATTTTCAAGTTTAAACTCAAATGTAGTGTTTAAGTGTAAAAAGTCAACTTAAAGAAATACTGAAAACAAAATGAAAGAGTTTGACTTACATAAAAAAATTACTCTAATTTTCTTAGTTTGACCACCACATGTTTTGTGGAGCAAAATCTGGGAATATTTCTCCCAAGGGTTCCATTTCTAAACATGTATCTAAAACACATTTTGTGTGCACCTTCCCTTGCGTGGACATCCAGGGTCCCATAGCAGCGCCTGGGAATCTTTAGCAGCAGTTGGTGCCGACATGTTTCGTGATTTGATAACAATCCTAAACAACATGAAAACATTATTTTATTTTGGTAGCTTGCATTAATCCTAGTGTCTAATAATTTAAAACCCTCATAAGGTTTATTCATTGTTAAACAGCAGATCTCTGCCAGATGCTGATGACGCATACAGCCTCATTGAAATGCGAAACCTGAATGTTTTAGTCAATAATAAAAAGAAAATTTCTACTTGCTTTTAAGACTTTCCACCCCATCTATTTATTTATTTGTTTAGCACTCATCACTGAAAGAGAATCACAAAGATCAACAAAACATAAAATCACAATGATCTTAACTACAAAACAGCAAATATCACAAAATCCAAACTAAAATCATGAAAAAAGTCATGAAATTATAAATGATCAAAACAATAAATAAATAAATAAATACAACTAATGAAAGGTCGGTATAAATTCTAGTTAAAAAAGATGAAAAACACAAAAGGTAAAAGTCATTTTAAAAGGGTCTTCAGCAGCTTTTTTTTAAAGGTGTCCAGACTGTCAAGGCTACGTAAGGATAAGGGAAGATCATTCCAGAGTCTGGGTGCAACAGTCTAGGAGGAGCGATCACCTCAACTTTTATATCTGGTCTTTGGAACTTCTTGAAGGTTCTGGTGTGTGGACCTGAGGGCTCGGGTTGGAGCATAAGGCTTTAACGGTTCAGTAATATAGGGAGGAGCTTGACCATGTAGAGCCCTGAAAGTCATAGTCAGGACTCTAAAATGAACTCTAAAGTTAACGGGTGACCAGTGCAGAGACATCAGAATAGGGGTGATGTGGAGCCTCGCTGCAGAGTTCTGGACCAACTCAAGGTGGCCAAGGGCTAAAGTGTGTTACAGTAACCTAGATGAGAGGAGATAATGAAATGGAAAACCTTTTGAAGTTCATGTTTCGACACCAGCCTTTGAAGTTTAGAGATTTTTCTCTTGATAAAACCTGTTTCAGACCAGGTGGTCATGGCATTTTTATTCAAGATTTAAAACTCTGGTCAGGATGGAAAAGTCTAACAAACTGAAAACAGATCATTCCTGCAAAATGAAGCTTTCTCAGTGTTGTCATTGAAGATCGCTCCTGTTCGGCGCTTGGAGGAGAAATAAAGGTTTGTAATCGTGTTTAATCGTCATCATTTGAATATTTATGAAAACAATCATTTAAATAGAGCAGCCCTAACAAGCAGTGGTGTTCTTTGTTTTGAAGCTACCATGAAACGTTCCTGTGAGGCTGTTGGATGTTTCTTAAGAAGAGGTCAGCACACTAAAGCAAGCACAGCCATCAACATGTCCGATACTGGGACTGAAAATAAACATCATCTCCAGACCTTCTTAAAAAGACTCCCTAAGGAATCTGATCGTACCGGTCTTTCCAGCCAGCTCTACATCTAACATGGAGCTACGTCAATAAACAGAGATTAATAGCATTAAACTGTCTGTATTTGTGTAGTCTGATTTAATAACTGTGCCCACCAGAAGAATGTTTGCAGGTTAGCAAAGTGATTGGCATCTGTCTGGGCTCTGCGTAGGGGAGAAGCATGTGGTTGGACCTGGTGATTATTTGTGTTGGAGTCTTAAGTTGAATGATGAGTCCCTGTGTGTGCAAATAAGGATGAACTGCACACACACACACACACACCGAGGGCCAGTTGAAGTCCTTCCTGAGGCAGGTTGTCAGCGACTGCTCAGGGAGTGTTTGTTGTCAGAGCAAAGCTGGACGGGACCATCTGTCAGCTGAGGAGGGAATGTGAGCAGTGCCAAGAGAACGGCACATTAAGAAACAAACATGTGTAATCTAATCTCACAGTCATCTGATAACACACAAAGTCCGGTCTGACTCTACGACACATTGCATTTGAATTCTGTCACAGCTAAAACTAATGAAATTCCTGTCCTCACACCGTATCCTCTAGGTCCATTTGTAACGTAGACCAAACCAAAGGAGAGCTACTTCTGTCAGATGATGTCTAAAGAAATCCAGCCCAACTCATTCATTATCAGAGACTCTGAGCTCTGCCAAGGACTCAGTTAGCAGGAACGAAACTGTCAGAAGAGAACAGGCTTACCTTTAGATAAAGACAGTCACCTTGAGCCTAGATACTGGACCTCATAAAACACCTGATAAACTTACTGCATGGATTTATTATTAATTTGTGGAATAAAATATCTGTTAGAATGTTGGACTGCTCCACGTGTTTAACATGAATTTAAACATGAAGCTGGAAAAGGAAGGAAAAGGCGAAACAATCTAAAACCCCTTCAGCTACTAACCTCCACACGTGGATGCTGTTTGCATCCCTATTATTACTGTTGATGCTGATGAAGATAAGCTATCTCTTTATACAAATGACAGGTGTTGTACAGAAAAAAGCACCCTTACTGTTCAAATCCCCCCCTTCATGGGAAGGATGCAAAGAGATGTGTCACATCAGTCAGACAGGTATGGAACTAGGATTGGGACAATATTACATTAACTTGTACCAAGTTTTGTAATTGTAATATGTTTGTAACTGTGACGTTTGTTTTGTAACAGGTAACTTTTGTTTTGTAGCATGTAATTCTCCTTTTGTAACATTTAACTTTGATGCAGAAAAAAAAATCAATGTACAAGTTTCAAATCACAACTTTCAAAACACACATCCCAGTCTACAGTTACAAAACTCAAGTCCACAAGTACAAAACATGTTTTCCCTATTCTAGCTTGCTTCCAACAGGAATTGTCTTTGAAACGGAATCGAAGCCTGTCATTGGTTCTTTGGGAAGGAAGCTAGAATTGGGACAAAGTGTTTTGTAGCTGTAGACAGAGATGTGTGTTTTAAGAGTTGTGATTTGAAACTTGTACATTGATTGTTTTCTGCAACTTACAAAATGAAAGTTTCATGTTATGTATCAAATGTTACGTGTTACAAAACAAGAATTACATGCTACAAAACACATTATAAGTTTCAAAGTTTGGTACAAGTTACATCTAATATTGTCCCAATCCTAGTTCCACACACAGGACTCAAAGCCGCAATTAATTATCAGTTCTTTATAATCAAAGTGAACATAATGAAGTTTTATTTTAAATTGTCAAAATATCATTTAGAATTTTGAAATTTAAGAAATACATTTAAAATGTATTTGGAATATTTGATGCTCATGTATGATGAGTTAAAAGAATATCTCAGACTTGGTCTTGATTAACAGTGTTATAACACTACTACTACTAAGCTTAATAATAACAATAATAATAACCGTATAGCTTGATGCAATTTTACCATTTCAGAGATGAAGTAAAATCACAAGAACTACATTAGATTTCTATGGGGTTTTTTTTTCTAGAAAAACTTCCTTTCAGATATTCACATTTTTTTCTATATTAAAAGACGATTAACAAACAAATG